GCGAGGACACGCAGTGCGGTACCGAGGATTCTGCCGCCGCCCAAGGAGGCGATCCGCTCCAGAGGATGACGATGGACGGCATGGAGGTGGTCGGCTCGCAGCCGCACGCAGCCACCAGCCCGTTTCTGCTCTCCTCGCCACCCCTAGGACATCATCACCACCACGCTCACGCGACCTTCAACCTGCAAACGGTGCAACTCAGCTTCGACGCGTGTTTACCGTACAATGCGGCCTCTTCATCCAACTCGGTCACCTGCAGCATCGGTGGGACACCTGTGAGCGCGACCTGCACGAATTCGTCGAGCAGCTGCAGCAGCAAAACCGTCCCTACGCTCTCACTGTCGTCGTGCGTGCCGTTGCACGCGCAGCTCCAGATCACCCCGAGCGACTCCACCGCGGAGCACAGTCATGGCCGGCACCATCATCATCATCATCATCATCACCGGCTGGACGATCATCACCAGCACCACCTGCACGCTGGCAGCGCGTCCTCCCCGTCCGCCGACGCCGCGGACGGCAAGAGGAACCGGCAGGGGACCGAGGACGACGATAAGGGCTGCATCAGAAACTGCAGGAACGATCTTCACGACGCGAACGACAAGGACAAGCCCGGCGACCTCAACACGCCGGTCACCACCAGCAGCGACCTACCGTCTTTCTTCGGCCCCTCTGCGCTTGTCGAACCGCCGCCGATCTCAGGTACCTACCTCCTCATCTCAGCTGTCCTTTAACGTCGATCTTGATCGGGGAACGTGCTCTCGGTCTCGCCGCTGATTTCCAATACTTTGTCGGCTATCTTGTCGTTGCCAGGCGACTTCCAATCGCTCAAGCGGCACTTTCGAGCTTTTGCGACGTGTTGCTTCTAATGACAATGTAAAGATATTGAGGTGAAGAGAGAGAGAGAGAGAGAGAGAGAGAGAGAGAGAAAGAGAGAGGAAGAGAAAGGAAGAGAGAGAAGAAAAGAGAGAGAGAGAGAGAGAGAGGAAGAGAGAGAAGAAGAGAGAGAGAGAGAGAGAGAGAGAAGGGGATGACGTATGCCGACACATTATTGTCGCGCATCTTCAAGTTTCTTCAGCCCGTCGACACACGAGCTCTCCCGGTGCGATTCTCCCCTCCCCCCCTCCCCCCGTGAAACGTTAGTCGCCCCCTCGCAATTCCGCAATTTCCCGCGGGATTACGTAGGTGCGAGTGCGCGATCCTCTTGAATTCGCGGCATTTCACTTTCGCCGGTCTTTCGCTTTCTATCCGTTTGAGAGCGTTTCGCGTACTTCTAGTACTTCGTCTTTAAAACCGTCACGCAGCCATTCGCGGCGATTTCGGCGTCTGAATAACCGGGAATCTGGATGGGACGATGCGCACGGCAAGACGCGCATCGTAGATCGTAGAGCGTCTATGACGCGAGAGAGAGAGAGAGAGAGAGAGAGAGAGAGAGAGAGAGAGAGAGAGAGCTCCACGAGGCATCAGTTACGTTGATCGCTACGCCGCTCGCGAAAACATCTAATATCGAAGGCCTGTCCGCCTGTCGCGGATCAATACTCAACGACCCCGACATTCAGAGACCCTCCACTTCAACCTGCACCACCACCTCTGCCTCCCCACTATCCCTTGGTCGGTTCATTCATGCTTCCAGCTGCCCCCACCTTCACCACCCTCGGTATCGTAATGACCCTCGCGCGCGACTACCGTGCGGCTTTCCTGCGTGTTTCCTATCTATCTTTTTTCCCCTCGTTCTTCTCTTTTCTCCTTTTATTTGAGCTCTGCGCCGAGAAAATGTACAATTGCCAGTCTCGGGGCGTCGCCGGCAACCATTCGCGTCGCGAGATGACGTGTCGGCGCGAAAAGCGCGGCCGAGAGGATGATCGAAATACGCGAAAAGAGACGCGCCCTACCCTGCGCTTTCTTCTTTTTTTCTTCTCGCGACCTTACAGCAAGAGAGAAGTCCTCCTCTTAACTCGTTGCTCGGTAATTATACGTGTGGCGAGAGGGAGGAAATAACAAAGCGGCAGGATGCAGACGGCAGATAGAGCCGCTGCTAGATAAAGTCGCCATGATATCGCGCGGTTCTTCCTGTCGAGCGAGCGGCGAAATACGCGCGCCCGTAGCTGACGTCGCGATCGTCTCGTGCACCGAGTCGGTATTAAGCGGCGATTTTCGTTTGGATGCTTCGCAGGCAGCCTGGCGGGCGAGGACCTCTCGCTGGAAGAGGCGACCGCGGAGGAGGACGAGAGCGGTGCGTCCGCCGGCAGAGATCATCGACACCACCATCATCAGCAGCAGCAGCAGCAGCAGCAGCAGCAGCAGCAGGACGCGCGGAGCGCCGTGACGTCGAGCGCACCGTCGTCGAGCAGTCCGCCGTCGCGTCACCACCCGGTCCAGGACGAGGCGGACCGCGGTAACGTGCTGCAGGGCGGAGTGATCCTGTACTCGTCGCCGCACACCACGTCCTCCGTGCCGGCGAACAACGTCAACATCTGCAACGTGCCGACGCTAACCTACCGCGGTGTCTTCACCACGACCTGCACGCAGTCCTCGCCGTTGGGCAATCTCCAGAGCGAGCAGCAGCAGCAGCAGCAACCGCAGCAACAGCCGACGAGCCAAGAGCTATGGGCTCCGTTACCCTCGCCGACCTTAACCTTGGCAGGTCAGCCGTTCCTTCACCCCAACCTACATTCAGCCGCGTACGGCGGCGAGACCGTCGAGTTATTGCAGGTCGATTCGAAGCCGCCCCCGCCACCCGGTTATCACGACCCACCGACCACCACCCCTGCGGCCTGGCTGACGGCGCACGAGGAAGCTTACGATCCCGGGCTCCTCTCTCACCATCACTCTCACGCTCACCATCACGAGACCGCGTTGAAGCAAGAGCCAACCGGCACGTCCGGCTACACGCCTTGCGTGCAGCAACCGCAGCAGACGCAGCCGCAGCAGCAGCAGCAGCAGCAGCAGCAGCAGCAGCAGCAGCAGCAGCAGCAGCAACAGCAACAGCAGCAGCAACAGCAGCAGCAGCAACAGCAACAGCAACAAGCGCCACCGCCGGCCGGCGGCGGCACGGGGGTGCAGTTAGCGGAGTACAACCCGAGCACGTCGAAAGGCCACGAGATCCTCTCGCAGGTCTACCAGCAGAGCGCTCTACCTCTGCGGCTGGTGCCGGTGAAGCCGCGCAAGTACCCGAACCGGCCGAGCAAGACGCCGGTCCACGAGCGGCCGTACGCCTGTCCGGTGGACGGCTGCGACCGCAGGTTCTCCCGCAGCGACGAGCTCACCCGGCACATTCGCATCCACACCGGTCAGAAGCCGTTCCAGTGTCGCATTTGCATGCGTTCGTTCTCGCGAAGCGACCACCTGACTACCCACGTGCGCACGCACACCGGTGAGAAACCGTTCAGCTGTGATCAGTGCGGCCGAAAGTTCGCCAGGAGCGACGAGAAGAAGCGCCACGCGAAGGTGCACCTGAAGCAGAGGCTGAAGCGCGAGGCATCGCACGCCAACCCGAGGAGTCATCCGCAGAGCCACGCGTCGTCGCCCTGCAATTAATGAATTCCACGATGACAACGACGTCGACAGAGAAATCCTTCTTCAACGTTGAGATCTCATTACCTTTGTCACGCTCTGACAAATTGTGATCTATGTTATCCATCCGCCTCCCTCGCACGCTCACCCCCTCTCCCCACAGAGCCACCCTACTTTTCACCCCATTCTGCCCCTTCCTCCCAACTCTTCTCCGAGTCTTTTCTTCTTCGGTCTTGAACCAGACGCTCTCCTTCCTTCCTCCCCCCCCCCCTCTCTCTCTCTCTTTCCTTTGTGATGGCCGATGAAGAGACCTCGCGGAGACCTTTAGGCGGCCGAAACCGTCATCGACTGATCCGTCATTCGTCGTCGTCGGTCCATCAACTGTTTGCGCTATCTTAGTACACGACTGGATGCGAACCAATCGAATTTTTTCGCATGCAGCGCGGGGCGCGGTAAACAGTTGCTCATTCTGGGGAATTATCGCAGGAATCGTAGCGGGTAAGCGTCGCGATCTCGACACACACGTCGGACGGCAGAGACGATCTGCGAGAATGGTGCTTCGTTCGCGGTGTCTGCTGCGTCATCGCGAGAAATCGGACCTGAGCTGGAACGCCTCAAGCTTGAAAAAGAAAGAAAAAGACAGATTCAACCCCCGCGACTCGCAGCGCCTGCAGATGATCAATCGCTCGACCGTAATCGTCTCATTTTTGAAATCGTAGAAATCGCACACGTCACGGCTTGCATCCGTATCATTGCACGATCATGAAATCCGTCAAGTCCGCGAGATATTCATCAGGGTCGTTACAAACGATTGCCATTGAGCGTCGCGAGAACATTTTCGTGCAATCGTATAACATGAAATCGATACTATCCGCAGCTTCCGGGAACAGTAGAGTGACACAGCGGAGAATACCGAGCGGGGGGGGGGGGAACATGGAAGGAAGAAGGAGATGATTGAAAGGGAGAGAGAGAGAGAGAGAAAGAGAGAAGGGAGGAAGGGAGAATATCGCGAATCGCTGCATACGGGCGATTTGGTGCGTGCATGAGTATGTGTGTGTGTGTGTGAGAGAGAGAGAGAGAGAGACGTAACGCTTCGTGAAACGTTATAATATTGCATCAGCTCGCTGTATGATCGACATCACCAGCGGAATTCAATATTTAAGTGGTTACACACGTCCTATCCCTTCCTGTGAGCACAATCGAAAAGGCTCGCTGGTGTTTTCGAGTGCAATCCTCAAAAAGAAAAAGAAGAGAAAGTGAAAAGGAAGATCAAAAAGAAAGCGTATTGCCGCATGGAGATCTATGCTACGAATAGGAAAAGGCGCAGAGACTATTAACGAGAGAGAGAGAGAGAGAGAGAGAGAGAGAGAGAGAGATTCGCGATAATGGAAATAGAGATATTTTTTTATGTATATTTGTATATAACTATATAATTGAACGTTACAACACCGAATTACAGAGAGAACGATCGAGACACGTATAGAGGAGGAAAAAATATTTATTTTTGAAAGAAATTTTACGTTAGAGAGTATAATACGCATATAGGTGCTAAAGGAGGAAGAAGCTCCGTCTCACCGCGTCGCGCCGCAGAAGCGCGCGCGATGTTTCGGATGAAACTTGGTTTCGATGACGAAAAAGAACCAAAAAAAAAAAAGAGGCGACTTTTCCGTGAGTCTTCATCTGATTTGTTCACAGTGTTCACACGAGGAGAACGTCGATTTCTGATCTCGTAGCAGCGATCACATATTGCCTATATAGCGTCCCACGTGTATGCATTCTGTCGTGTTGTACCTTTGTCGTGCTCCGAACACGCTAAATCTCGGCTGTCCCTGCGATATGTGTGCAATCATGTCACATTGGCCCCGTCGCGGATCTTCCCTCCCCCCTCCCCCTTCACCTCACCTCCTCCCAGCCTCTCTCCCACCCTCGCCGCGATCGTTCTTGCCTCTCTTTCTGCATTCTAGATGAGATGAGAATTCCACGAATTAATATTGTAATTAAAACCATTACGACCATCGTTGTTGAAAGAGATACTTCACGTGTACATATGTATATAATTTATTACTTATATGATCGCTGTATGTATGTAAAATCTAACGTCGTTATCTTGCCCCCTTCTCGTTCTTTTCGCTCCCCGCGCTCTTCGTTTCTCGCATTATTCTCACCACCCTCGAACCCCTTCCCCCCTCCCCCCGCCGCCGCTCACGCCCCCTTTCCTGCCCTCGTCCTATTCCCCTACGTGTATACATACGATTTAGCGATTGTTAATGTTATGTATATGTTGCTCTATTTATTAACAAGATGACTATATCAAATGAGAATATATTGTTAAAGTCAAATAATTATTTTTATTATCGTAAAGGACTACTTTGTCGAACGTGCAATGCGTTACAAAAAAGTGACAAAAATTTCGTACCTACGCTTATACAAGTTACACAAGTTGTACAAGTTACACACTCGCATGTGTGCATATACACAGACACACACATACACACGTAACACGTACGTGTACACACGCGCGGGCGCGCGTACATGCACGCATATTTTTCAAACATTACACACACACACACACACACACACACACACACACACACACACACACACACACACACACACACACACACACATATACACACACACGCACGCACGCACACGCACACGCACGCACGCACACACGCACGCGCACACATATACACACACACACACACACACACACACACACACACACACACACACACACAGACATATGTACAAATCGTACGAGCGTATGCGAACGCGATGATACGCAATACTCATCTACATAATAAGTTGTAGCGCAAGCGCGTCTCCCAGGAGAATACTTTTTTACAAATAATATTATCTTCTATCGCTAGAGACAAATTATATGTAATTATTATACATATGGTGCTCCGAGAGTGCAATGCACGTAAGAAAAGCTCCCGATTACTTGTATATTCGTGTTGTCATCATCGCTCCTGCATATGCTTCTCTCTGCGGGTAACGATCTTGCAACAATTATTAACAGAAATACAATTAACTTTGACTCAAAGTCAAGTGGTTCGATTATTTTCGCAACCCTGCCACACAGGAGTCGGCCGAAGGGGAGAAGGACTGTGCGATTGGAGGCAATACATTCCTCGATCGATCCGGAGAGTGTTCGGAGTTCCTGATGAAAATTTAACGTAGACTTCAGGTTGAAGAAAGTCCTACCAAAGTACAGTTTGAAGTGATTTTCACAGCGGAATTAAGTGAGAAGTAAAAGGTTTTTTTACCAATGTTCATCCTACTTCATAATCGTCCGTTTCCCTCCATCACGAATAATTCAGAAACTATCAATATGTTTTCATTTTTCAGTACGATTTTATATCAAAGAATACAGACAGATTTCGAACCTCCTTCTTCAACATTTTCTAGGTGAGACGCACCTGTATGAAATAGCTCGCTCGGGCTTTCATTGATCTCCTCTTACTCTGCTGATGCTTTATCTACTAAAAAAAAAGTCTTTTCTGTTCATTCTTCCGATTTTCTTTTTTTTTAAATGGCGGTGTGAATAGTCTTCGAAAGCCGAGCGAGAACTGACTAATCGTAATATTGAATACCAAGTAAAAGTGTTAATTTTTGTTTAATTTTAAGCAAATTTTGGAGTAGAAAATCGTATCTCTTTTCCTCGCATAAAATATCACCCTAACACTGATCACAATTTCAAGATTTACCGAGGAACGAAGCAACTTCCGACGCAACTTCAGCGGAGAACGATGGGCCGCCCCGATATTCGCCGAATGATGAGTACGTTCCATTTATGAAACTTATCAACTATCTCGCGCCGCGCATCGTGCAGCATTGTCTTGGCAGATAGGGAAAAAAATCTCTCTCTAGAGTAGTGTTTTCCAACCGGTGTGCCGTGAGTGAGAGGATCTAAGATGTGCCGCGAAAATTTTTAAGTTTTAATTATTATCTTTTTATTACACATTATAATAAATTGTTTTGTTTTATTTTTTTACCATAATGGTGCATCTTGTTTGTTTAATAAATAAATCAAAAAGGTATATTCCTTTTTATACTTTTCTCTTGATCATTATAATTTAAGTGTGTCGTGAGATAAAAAAGGTTGAAAAACGTTGCTCTAGAGATCGACAAAGCAAGCAAGTTCAGCCACGATTGTTGCGACTGCGCGATGTCCAAGAAAGTCTAAGAAGTTCACGGCGGTGAAGAACAACGAACGTTGTAACGCGCGTCATAACGTCCGTAGGACGAAACGTACACGCTTTTCCCGATGCTCAGTTGCGTTCACAGAGCTGGACCGCAGATAGATGGGCAAGGTGGGGGGCGGGAGGGGAGGTGGACTTGCAGCGCAGAAAATATGTCGCGCGCGCGCGGCATTCGGCAACGGCGGCGACTGTCGTTAACACAGACACTAAGTGTCGGCGTCCACGTCTCGAGTCCAGCACAATCGATCTTTCGCACTCGAGCATTTCGCGGCGAGTTTTGGCCGGCTCGTTGGCTAGCTGGCTGGCTAGCTGGCTGGCTGGCTGGCTGGCTGGCTGGCTGGCTGGCTGGCTGGCTGGCTGGCTGGCTGGCTGGCTAGCTGGCTGGCTGGCTGGCCAGCTGGCTGGCTGGCTGGCTGGCTAGCTGGTTGGCTGGCTGGCTGGCTGGCTGGCTGGCTGGCTAGTTGGCTGGCTGGCTGGCTAGCTGGCTGGCTGGCTGGCTAGCTGGCTGGCTGGCTGGCTGGCTGGCTGGCTAGCTGGCTGGCTGGCTGGCTGGCTGGCTGGCTGGCTGGCTGGCTGGCTGGCTGGCTGGCTGGCTGACCGGCTCGTCCATGGAGAATGCGTAATATAGTCACTACATATAGGTATACACGGGCACACCTATATAAGAAAGACAGTACGCGAGCGGCGGGCAGGAGTGAAGCTGAGAGCACATCTATAAATAGGACCTCGAGAGAGCGAGATGAGGTCTCTCCTCTGCACTTCGCGATACCTTCTGCTTCTCTCCGTCTCGCGCTGTGAGAAATCCTTCCGAGGAGACTCTTCGTCCTCCTCTCTTCCCGCTTTCTTTCCTCTCTTTTCTCCCTTCTTTTTATCCCCCCTCTCGCCTCCTTTCTCGTCCTCTGCCGCTCTCTCGCGACATTGTATCTTTTTTCCAAAGGAGTTTATCTCTTTCTCTCTCTCTCTCTCTCTCTCTCTCTCTCTGTTCTTCTCACTCTCACTTTCTCTCTCCATCCGTTCTCGTCTACGCACGTACACGCACACTTGCGCGTGCTCTCTCTCTCTCTCTCTCTCTCTCTCTCTCTCTCTCTCTCTCTCTCTCTCTCTCTCTCTCTCTCTCTGTCTCTCTCCTCTTATTTTCTTATTGTCCTCTCTCGCAATTCGTCCCGTCTTGTTTTCGGCTATTCCTCTCCGTCTCTCTCTCTCTTTCTCTCTCTCTCTCTCCTCTCTCTCTCTCTCTCTCTCTCTCTCTCTCTCTCTCTTTCATGCTAAACGATAAAGCGTGCCGTTTCTATGATGATCGCCGACGGCATTGCATAGGCAAGGGGGGAGGCGAACGACGACAAAGAGACAGACGGAAAGGTGGAGGCGAAGACGAGAGAAAAGTAAAAACGAGATGCGGTACTACCGCGGGGCACACAGAGAGAGGGAAAGAGAGAGAGAGAGAGAGAGAGAGAGGGAGAGAGAGAGAGAGAGAGAGAGACGCACGTAGACACGCTCGACATACGGATACGTATATGGAAACTCTCGAGGCTCGCATATGCAAACGTATTATGTAGAGAGCCCCGTTTCTCTATCGGATTACTTCATTCTCGCTTGGTCGGTTAATGGCAGACTCCTTAAGCAAATCGGAGACAAAAATTCCGCGGGAAAGGATCGTAATGTCGAGACGCTAATAGCTCTCTCAAGGAAGGGGGTTAAGGGAAAGATTTGCCGAGAACAGATCATCGCTCTCGCGCGGATGTTAAACTCCGATGGAGTTTGAACGAGCGGAAAGAGATTTTACTCCTCGTTCATTCGGTCGGTGCTTTTGAGAAGAAAAGAAAAAAATCGCCGAGACACTTCCTCGAGACGAGGTCGAAGACGCTCGAGATTTGAATCCCGCCGCGTTTACGCTCTATGGACCACGATGGTAGACCGATAATCACCCTGTCCAAAACAATGACGTCGATTACGTCAACGTCAACGTCGGAATTTCCCGTTCAACGATACGGTGCGACATATCGCGGTCATATCGCGACATAAGCGGTGTTACATCGTTCAATGGGCAATTGTAACGCACGCTACCGTCCGCGTCGGTTTAACATGGCCGTCACGTTTAGGTTCTCGTCTCACCGAGCACAATAAGTAAGTACGAGGAAAATATAAAAAAAGAAAAGAAAGGGGGAAGAGGAAGAAAATACGACTGCTCGCGCGATCGATGCGCGGACGCGCGAGCGTCAGGAGCGTTCCAGAGAAATTGCGCTATGAGAACGACCGCGCGGCGGATATTGAACAAAGAGCGAAAATGCCGGGGTTAAAGCGGCGAGAACTCGCCGGGCACGCTGTGTCGTTACTCCGCCGCCTCGCCGCAACATCCGCGAAAAGCTCCGGCTAGGGGTTAGGGTCACATCACGGAGAATGGAAGAGTAGCGGCGACGGCGCCACGAGGAACCGGCGGTTAGGGGGTGGCGGGGAAGAAGGGTCGCGAGAGCAAGAGCAAGAGAGAGAGAGAGAAAGAGAGAGAGAGAGAAAGAGAAAGAGAGAGAGGGCGGGGAGAGTTCATTGAGGAACGACACGTGTACGCGTTAAGAGTGCGGCGGCGGGACTGCGATATGAAGTGGGATAAGAGGGTGGGAGGAGTACAGTAGCGAGCAGCAGGGCGAAAAGGGGTTGCCAGGCGACCATAGTCGCGCGGGTTGCCCTTGGCGACTAGTTGCGTCACTGCAGCGCCGCGTGACGTCACGCGACGCCACTGCCCTTGACCGTCGGGATGACACCGGGGAGAGCGTCCTGGCGACCCTACCTTGCGGCACCCAGCACCCTCCTCCACCCCTCGCTCTGCCGTATTCCCTGACACTGACATAGGATACGCAAGGATAAATCTATATGTACATATATATGTACATACAGAGTAAGAGAAGGAGAGAAGAGAGCGGGGAGAGAAAGAGAGAGAGAGAGAGAGAGAGAGAGAGAGAGGAGAGCGGGGAGAGAGAGAGAAGAGAGCGGGGAGAGAAAGAGAGAGGGAGAGAGAGAGAGAGAGAGAGAGAGAGAAGAGAGCGGGGAGAGAGAGAGAGAGAGATAGAGAGGAGAGCCAGCATTCATGCCGCGTGCTTCGCTTTCGCGAGACACGCGGCTCACCTTTCGATTTGAACTCTGCACCATAAACGTAGTCTCTTGATACGCATTAAGAGTATATCGTTGTGTTTTGACATGCGACTCAAAATAAGCGTCAACGCGCGCTCTATCTTTTCTCTCCCTCTCTCTCTCTCTCTCTCTCTCTCTCTCTCTCTCTCTTTTTCTGCTCATTCTCGCGCGCGCACGCGCATATGCTATTTCCAGAATTATGTGCTTCGATTATTGTTACGGCGGCACATACATAGTTGCAAGCTGTGGGAACTGAGGAGGAAGGACAGACAGGCAAGTTCGCAGGCTCGTTGTAAGCTCGGTGGTAATCGATTGACGCGAGTTTATACGTCGTGTGTAATATTTATAGGATGACGCGCAAAGCTTATTTTGCGCAATGGGCTTATTTAATACAATTTCTGCTGTCGATGATGATGGCGATCTGTCGCCAGCCGCGTCTTTTGTCCGTCGTCGTTGTCCAGTACACGATGTCGATATATTTATCGTAGGGATCATTAAAAAAAAACGCGGTTCTCTTACGTCAATTCATTCGCTCTTTTGTCGTACGATCGGTGTTGCGACGGTGTTCTTTCATTATCGTACTTTCGCACGGATTCCTTATTCATATGGGTGCACCTCATCGTTACAACAAATTATTCATCCCGGCTTGCGAGATTGGTTCTAATTTCATTGAAAAAAATATTTTATTTATTTGTTCATGACGATACAGAATACGCGGAATGGCTCCATTGTACGTACATCTTGTACAAAATTCCATCCCATATAGCACAGAAGTCACAGCAATATTGCTGCAACATTGTTCCAACGTTGCAGCGACGTTTCTTCAACTTTGTGTGCTGTATGAGACAGAATTCGGGTGTAAAGTTATCCTGCTCTCCTGATCATTGTATTCTCCTTATCACACATTCTTGACTATTGATTGTATACGTGTACGAAGTGATAAAATGGAGAAAAAATTGTAGTTTTATCACTTGAATCTGATATTGGTATCTTTGCAAACATCTGATATGGGAAAACGGCTAGTAAAAGTGCAAGTACACCGAGACACGGTCACAGACTATGATTCTTCGCACAAGTACGATCAAGTGTGCTGAGAAATCGGATGATGAATACGGAATCAAGTGTACACAATATGAATGAAAATTTTATAGCTTTAATAAACAATCGTAGTATAAACTTGCGTAACATAAGCAGAATCCTGCGACACCGTTCCGAACTTTCAGTTGCAAAAGTGTTTTTATTAAAGTAACGTATACTCTTATATTATCAAGGTAGTAATAATCTTATTTTTTATGTAACAATTGCATAATCTGTGTAACATTCACGAAACACATTGAGTGCTATGTGATCAGTACAGGGTGGAATACTTGTTTCTTCGTTCTCTCTCTCTCTCTCTCTCTCTCTCTCTCTCTCTCTCTCACGCACACGCGCACACACACACACAAACGCACACGCACACATACGTGTCTACATAATAATATACGTCATTTGTTATTTGTCCCTTTACGTGCGCCGATTGATTATCAAATAGAAAATTTCTAGAGTACATTCGAGAAATGTATCGAGGCTCTAAAAATATTCGACGACCCATCAGCGATGAGCCGTACAAATAGTTGTAACGTTGTGAATTTGCAAAGTGTTTTTACAGACTGAATCTAAACGATACATTTCACATCTAGAACGGTAGAACGCTTTGGAATCTTAAATCGTTCCGTGATTTCGCCGCGGCATTCAGCATATTAAATTGGTGTAGAGTGATTAAACGAGAATGGGAAGTGTCTGTCTCTCGAGCCATTGAAGTGCTTGAACATTTTCCGCTCCTTGGAGGAAAGGTTTCAAAACTTCCAGACATTTCGCATGATAATTATTTAAATACTTGATCTGAAACATACATCATTGTAAAACGACCGAAAGATAATCGAGATATTTGTCGATCAAAGATAAGAAGAGAATAAGAACATAAAGAGTATACCTCCTTATCTGTGAGCAGCGATACGTCGAGCAGACTCGTCTGAATAGGTACGAGCGTCACGGTTTCGAAAGTCAGGAAACCTCGGTCTTTGTAGTTGTAAGGGGTCTTCGCAGGCACGACCAACTCGATGTTTTCCAGTCTAATGCCAAATTTGCCATCTTCGTAATAGCCCGGCTCTGTTTGTTTTTCAAATGCATACACGCCACATTTAATCCCCTCACGTTTAGAGAAGCGACGTTAACATTACATTTATATGCCTGAATTTACCGTTCGACAGAAACATTCCGGACTCTAAGCCTGGATCGTCCGGATACGGTTTCCACGAGATGCCAATTGGCTCCTCATGGACGTTGAGATACGATCCCACCCCGTGACCGGTACCATGAAGATAATTAAGGCTGCAATTAATTCGATTAAAGACAGTGTACATGCAGTGAAATAAATGTGTTTCACCTGCGGATCTTCTCAAATATTCTCAAGAACTGCAGAGATACCTCAAACGACTGAGTTAAGTAGAGTTCTTTGTATGAAAATTGTACATTTTCTCTCTTCTATCTTATGAGATTTTTTCTCGTATACCAAGATACCTTTTTAGAAGGATTTCTACGTACCCAACGCTCCACAAGCTCTCGCGCGCTAATGTATCGAGGTAATTTCCTTTGGTTTTTAAAGGGAAGGTCATTGTCGAGAGACGGCACTGACCCTTAAATACTCTGGTGAAACATTCACGCTCGTAGCTCGTGGGTTCACCAAAATGTAAAGTCCTCGTTACGTCTGTCGTGCCGTCCTTATATTGTGCGCCAGAATCGCAAAGATAAAGTTCTTTATCTGTAATAGGCACATCAGTCGCTTGCGTAGGTGCGTAATGAATAATTGCTCCATGAGGACCGACAGACGATATAGTGGTAAAACTTAACCCAACAAAAAGATCTTGCTGCCTTATGAAAACAAAAATAAATCTCTTGTATTCTGGAGTATTATAATATTTCACGCGGTGGCGGACACGTCGTTTCTGTCAGTTTACTCACTGTCGGAATTTCTCCAGTTGTGTGGCACCCGAGATTTCCGTAATGCATTCGTTGGTATTTTTTATCTTGTCCTCCAGCCAAGCAAAATATTTCACAAGAGCGACCGAGTCCCTCACGTGCGCCGCTTTCATACCCTTTATTTCAGTAGAATTCTTGATCGATTTCATAATGCTGATAGGCGTGATATCTGTATGCTTCTTCACTTCGCCACAGTCCGCGTGCAATGCGTAACTAGAATTATTGCTGATCCAAATCTTGTCCCGATCCGAGCACGAACTCGCGACTTCCCTTATAAAAGTATGTATATCTTCATAAGTGCGGAAAATCGGCTCGACACCTTCGTCCTTCAGTTGCTCTATTGCCTGCTGACTAAGTCTACTTCTATCTATAAAAATATATACGTCTTTAGCAGTGAGAGCAACATATGCAAAAAAGACAGGATTGAAAGGAATGTCGGAGCCTCTCCAATTTAGCAAGTACGCAATTGCGTCCAAAGCTGTTATCACAAGTACCGCTGCATTATTCTCTAGCATCGCTACACGACACAAGTTCACTTTGACTCCGGCTTTCTCACCCGAATATTCTATTGGCTGAGGTAAAATTATATTAGCTGTGGGCACTGGCTGTTCATCAGCCCATACTTTGTTCACCAAGTTCTCTGGAAGTGCGATTAAGCAATGGCCAGCCGCTGTTAAGCCACTATGCAGTCGTGCCCATTCGGTGTAACTTATTAGATTAGCATCAGCTCCAACTATAGATTTTGGAGGTAGATTCGAAGCCAACCACATAGCAGTGGTAGGCGTGTCTAATAAACCTTCTCTCATAAGAGTCCATGCCTCCGGTGGGTCTAATTCTGACGAGGCTTGCGTAAAATATCTTCCATCTGTCCACAGTAATGCTGCATCCGGTGTGACAATTACCGTGCCGTAAGAGCCATTAAAACCGCTGACGAAACGTCGTCTCTGGTCTCGCTCGGTCGAATATTCCGACTGATGTGCATCCTCTCCGTTGACAATCAAAGCATGAATGCCTTTCTCCTTCATACCTTCAGCTTGGACATTTTTCATAAGCGCCCGAAGCTGCGTCAATTTCCACAATCCGTTCTTTCTTACCATCTTGCATCATAAAAACGTTTTTATTATTTAGCGTTTAATCACGATAAAAGGTTAATGCAACAGCGATCACAAAGGCATATCTTACCTTGAAATAGTATTTGTACGCTTCCTTAATATTAATGATACATTGGTCACGGTGAAACAGTACAGAGGTTATCACTTCCTTCTTGGATTTCGATTAGCCGTGGTACGAGTGCCAACACGTTATTTCTACCGAAATGGCAAACTCATGGTACGTAACCCTTTTAAAAGATGTTATCTTATCTCTGATGAGAAAATAATCATGTCTGCAATTTAAGGATCTGTAAGAGCACAATAGTCAAGAACGAATTTTGACTTTAGAGGCCTCATGCGGCGAAAATGCGAAACAGCTCTCCCATGTGTAGGTATATATGATCTATGATTTTTGCATTTGACTCACACACATCTTATAACTTTTCTCATTAAAAGCGAGAAAATTGACTTCTTTCCCCGTCGTAAATGCTGTTAATACAAGTACTGGGACTTAATAAATTCATTTATTGCGTTTATTACAATCTAATATATTTAATTGTAGAATCATGTATACAATTCATAGAAATAAAACGCATTTTAAAGAAAAATAAGCAACTTCAAAGTACCTCTGTAGAATAATATATGTTCTCACTTTGTAAGTAATTTACATGAGAAGCTAGCTGTTTATATGCGAAAAAAGAATATATTAGAATACAACAGTCACAATGTTGAAAAATACATTGCAATATATATATATATATAGTGTTACGAGATATTTGACAGCTCTTCCAGTATGGTCTGTGTGTCTAAAGTGTTAAGGTCAATCGAAGCTCTGGTATCCACTACCACTCCACTTACCTGAAAATAATCATATTCAGAATACTTATTTTTATTTTATTTTATTTTTATTATAGAGAAGATCTCAACAAAAATTAGAATACTTGTGAGTACTGTTAGAGTACTTGTAAAATGTAAATACATCACACACATACACACACACACACACACTAGAGATTCTATTTAATTACCATTTCCTCAAAAAATGCAGTATGATTGGGCTTTTCCGAGTATCTTTCGTACTGGTCCAAATTATCCTGCAGCTTTAAGGTGAGACTATCGTAATTCTGTATTATAATTGCCAAAATTTGCTGTTCCGTCGGCGTCGATAAGCTTTCTTTGGTTAGCCATGCCGTTATCTTTGGAGGAAAATGATTAACTATATCCCTTACGTTTACGAGAGAATTCGTTAATTTGAGCGCATGTTCTTTGTGCTCATACGATTCGCTAGTCGAGTACCTAAGTGCTAAAGATATTTTTATTACAGAAGATGCATCCTCTCGTTGTATCCACTCAAGATACTCATTGTAATTTTCATTAGGGTTCTAGCTTTTATGAAAAAAATGTTTCGTCATTAGCCACTTACCCATAGCATTTAAGTTAGTGAAAATAAGTCTCATACGAATAATTTCATAAAACAGTTCGTCGTAACTACTGGGCGATGATAGGAATGTATCACCATATGTGATAAATAAATTTAAAATGTTTACCACCTGTTGAAGTAATGTAAATGTTATTTCATCCCATCGCGCGTAGAATCATGACATTTTCTTAAGTGTCTCACTACCTGAATAGCTAAAGGAAATATGTTCATTTTCTTAATAAGATGACTTTCGTGCGTCGTTAAAAATTTCAAAAGATTAATCAACGCCGTCCAAAGATCTCGCCACTGATAACCAAGTCTAACACGACACCTTTTTTGGTAGCACAGCAATCTTTGGAGGACGCCGATGCATTGATGGTATAACTCAAGCGGAAACTTCTTCATCATATGCGACGTTATGAATTCGACCAGCAGATCTGCAATTGAATCGTCGTAAACTCTATGAAATATTGGAAGCGCTCGATTAACAAGGATTGCCAACATGAGTGTGACACTAAAAAAGTCCCCTTGCAATTACGAGAGGAACCTTTTGGCAAAGGAATTGTACATAATGTTATACAAATAAAAAAATTATATATACTGGGAAAATACCGAGTAATGTCGCTGCGAGTGGTTGCGCAGGTGCTGCTTTATCTTGCAATTTTCTATGGTGCATGGGTACTCTGTGTAATTGAACTCTGAACGCCAAGTTTGCGTCGTGCATTAAGCTGTTAGCGTACTGATCCTCCGCGATACAGCTTAATATCAAGAAACATAGCTTCACATTATTCATTATAGCCTCTGTTCTGATAACTTGCATGACTATCGAGCTGGAACACGAGAAGGCATCAATGTATCGCGTGTAATTTCAGATAAGATTCAATATATATGTGTATTCTGAAGTAAATTTGTTGAATTTTGTTTCAGCTCACCAGTACTGCAAGAAGGTAGCCAATAAATTGAACGGCTGAGCCATTACGTCGGGCGGTGGAGCACCAGGAGCCACAGTATTCGGGCCTAAGGTATTGTTTGGTGATGGAGGTGCACTAGTATCACTTTGTGTATAGGCCAGAGTAGTTACAAAATTACGATTCAAGTGTGTGGCCTCGTACAGAGCTAAAAGCAAAGCGTTATTCGCGCGAACTTGTTGCGTTTTTGCTTCCTCTTCGCCAACAAACATGCTACCGACTATACTAGTTAGCGAAGACAACCAAGATGCTTGTATTTCTGAAAATATATTATTGCACTTAATAATTATTATTACATTTTGAAATACTTACATTGCATTTATACAACACATATATTATATAATGCATCGATATTCTAGAAGTCATGTTAAGCCCCGTAGATACATAGATTGTGATGAAATATTTCATCAGAATAAAACTCAGAATAAAATTCGGTACTTTTAGAATGCCTTATTTGTTATTAACGTGTTGATTATTTAAATAAAGGTAGTATAAAAGGTAGTGGTATCTTATTATTATGAATTATTATTGTACACTGTAATACCTGCCCTTTGTTGGGCGAATTGCCGACAGAACTCCGTTAACGAACTTGATATAGCTTGTCCATACCCATTGAGAGCCAATTCATCATCCAAGATTGATAATTTAACGATATATGGATTTGTGCTCTCATATTTCCTGTAGTTGACTAGAAGCGTTAACAATAAAACTGCATCATGGCCATGGCGATTTCTAGCAGCTGTATCTCTCAACAACTATGCCATGTGATGAAATAAGTCACTATTAGAGTCAGTTTGAACATGCTTAGAAATTTTACACATAAATATAAAATATGTTGTAATAAGTATAGGAAAGTAATAACTTAAAAATATTTGACATTCAACATACTTGTATTAGAGACTCAAAGATACTATTTAGCATTACATATTCCAATAAAGTATTTTGGCTAACATTGTCCATACCAGTGACTATTATTAACAGTAATTTCAGGCACAAAGCTTTTAAACTATCTGGATATTCACCTGAAGAAACAATATTTCCTCATTTAAAAGAATAAAATTTCAATTTATAATCTTAGATTTTTGTATAATTATTAATTATATATATCACCTGTCAGAAAATTATTGCAATGCTGCATCAATGTTGTCATCCTTTGTTCTGCAGCATCAAACCCTACTAAAATATCTATTAAGTTAAATCCATAGTCTCCTTGATTGGCTTTCTTATACATAGATTGAATAACTGCCGCTAATGTTTGCAGCGCATATACTATTCTAAATGGATGTTCATCAACTAAAGTGTCAACACAATGACATACCAAGGCGTTCAAATTTTCTTTACTAGCATTTAGCTGTTCTGATGTCATATGTAAAATCTCACTCTCAATGTGAGGAACCTATAAAATTATAATCTTTTATAGGAATAATTATTATATGATTTGAGATATCAATGTAGATATATACAAAAATACTTTATATAATTAGATAATAGAATAGATGTACTATGTGGATAATAATAAATTTCATACCATGGGTTTAATGAGAAATAGCTCATTCCAGAAGTTTGGATGAGCTAGTGTCAAATCTTCACCTTTGAAAAAACTTTCATAGATAGGTACTAGTTTGCATTTGTGCTGGCGTTTGGCACCAGAGCCACTTCTTTTCCGCATAGCCATCGATATCATAAATTATTCCCTGTTGCACATGTTTAAAATCTGAAAATACAATAACATTTAAAATAACTTTTACTAATCTATATATAAATCCATGAAAGAATTTAATATTATATACCATAAGATTTGCTCTGTAATTTATTGATGCAAAATCAATAAGACTAATGAAGAACTAAGTAATCATGTAGCCAATGGCTACCATCAATTTGAAATCTATTCTACATATTACTGTGAGTAAAGTAACAGAATAATTAGAATCTTCATTTAAAATATAACTTATTACAATACACACACTGTAGCAGATTTCCAAGACTTGCAAGATCTTCAGGGTTTAATTACTTACTTAGATATAATATGTTAACGTAATAATGTGTATAAAATAATTGTAAAATTATATAATTATATCATCATATATAATTATGTGATCATATTTATCAGACAAATGACAAGCTTGCTGCTAACCTTAACGATGAGATCAATTAATTACTTTCTTTTTTAGACATCAATCGACATATTTTCTAATCATATTCTTATTCTGAAAGAAACGTATTAAAATATATGCATAATTAAAATTTTATTGAAATTAATAAGTCAATTTTCTATGCAATTGTAATATTTTATAAAACAAATATTTTAAGGTTAAGTTATCTTCGCACTATACTTAACATACCTGCCTTCCTCTTCAAATTACATTATAAAACGTCTATTCCTTTAGGCTGAGAGTCTCTCTTTCTCTCTCTCTCTCTCTACAAAAGGTATAGAAAGCTTTAAGTTATAAGTAATTGACCAATCACAGTAGAATATAGTAAAAATAATCAATTGTGATTGGTCATTTACTTACGACATATAGATTGTCCATTATGGACACAGCCTTAGTTGAATTGATTCAATAGGTGCGTTCGGCAATGTAAATCGGAGGCGGCGGATTGCTCTGTTACCTCTGAAAGCGTTCGGTAATTGAAATTTTTCTGCTCTATGTCACAGAGAGAAGCCTGAGAGCTGGCATGGCTGCATTTACAGCGTTATCGAAAAGTTGGCTGATTCGAAGCGCCAACTGGGTCCATTTTTCATGGATATGAACTACTAAGCCAATGTCCACGATTTGTTGATACTATTCCGTGCTATGTCCATAATTATTTGGTTCTGTTCTGTGCTATGTTCACAAGCGAGCTAGATTAGTTAGATAAAAACGAAGAATCGGTCTTTGTCTCACCACCAGCGAATAGACAATCGCGACGATGCAAGCCAGCAACGATATTATCGTAAGGCAGACGTTGCCATCTCTCCTTTCACCCCCTTGTTTTCCTTTCCACATTGTTTTATATTCATAATTCGGGAAGAAAATAATTTTGTGAGTTCGGACGATTTCTAGCAATGACGCGACAGAGATAACGTGCGGCCACATAATAGCTATTATAAATTGACTTTTCGGATTACAATATTAATTTGATTTTTCAGAATACGCTTTCAAATTGTCTCTTCGGAATACGCTATTAAATTGACTTTTCGGAGTACACTTTTAAATTGACTCTTCTGACTACACATTTTTTAGTTGACTCTGTGGAGTACATATTTTTTAATTAACTCTTCGGAGAAAAGAGAAGAGAAACATTTTATATTTTATTTAAAAAATCTTAATTTTTGCAGAAAACTGATTGATGAAGAAAAAAATTAATTCACGACCTCAACGAAGATCTTAAAAAAATTACTGCAAGAAATGAAGTTGTTGTTATTATATACCATATTGTACAATATTAAAATATACGCGCAATAATTATCTATAATTTGCATATATGGGCGTTTATATGTAATTATAAGTAATATAAAAGTCATGACAAATTAATATGGCCGCGCGTTATCTCTGTCGCATCATTGCTAGAAATCGTCGGAACTCTCGAAATTATTTTCTTCCCGAATTATGAATATAAAACAATGTGGAAAGGAAAACAAAGGGGTGAAAAGGGAGACGGCGACGTCTGCCTTACGATAACATCGCTGTACCGCGATTCTTCGTTATTGGAGTTAACGACAGTTTTGTTATCGTTGCGCAGCTTTTCTACGGTATACAAAAGCTGCGCAACGATAACGAAAGTGTCGTTAACTCCAATAACGAGTTACAGAATCGTAGCACTGGCTCGCTTCGTCGCGATTGTCTATTCGCTGGTGGTGAGACAAAGACCGATTCTTCGTTTTATCTAACTAATCTAGCTCGCTCGTGAACATAGCACAGAACAGAACCAAATAATTATGGACATAGCACGGAATAGTATCAATAAATCGTGGACATTGGCTTAGTAGTTCATGTCCATGAAAAATGGACCCAGTTGGCGCTTCGAATCAGCCAACTTTTCGATAACGCTGTAAATGCAGCCCATAGATATAGGAATATAGAGATGGAGCGTGAACTCAGTACTTAGACAAGTGGGGAGAAGCCACTGAGGGAGGAGCGACGAGGTAAAGTGTGAGCATTTTGCATTGGATGAAATTATGCACAGGCGCAGTGGCGCTGAATACAACACATTCTAATGTATATTCTTACAAGGCCCGATTAACATACATTACATTATTTACATATCTTTAAATAAAACAATTTTATTAAATATATGACCCATATTCAAAACGTGCTTATAACTATGTTAGTGCATTGTTAACCAATCAGAAGGCATATTGCGTGACTTTTCATTGGTTTCATTGGTTAACAGCGCGCTAACATAGTTATAAGCACGTTCTGAATATGGGCCTATGACTTTATAAACACATACATACACACATTCAGGGTTAAAAAAATTGCTTTTTAAAAATAATTCATTGCACCCAGATACCACAAATTATCCCTAATATTGTCTTAAGCCAGCAGCACACGGTGCTTGTTTTCGTGCTGGATTGCTTGCTGGATAAAAATACTGCGTTCTGATTGGTGCATTTCCATCCATCTTCGGAAATGTACCAATCAGATCGTAGTATTTTCATCCAGCAAGCAATCCAGCACGAAAACAAGCACCGTGTGCCGCTGGCTTAAGATATCTTAGGATACTCCTAGGATATTTTAGGATATTCTTTACTCTTTACTTATGTTCGTCATTGGATATATTATGGTAGACAATTTTTGAATATCTTGTATTATCTAGGCTATTACCTATTAGGAAAGCTTACAATTATTTCTTGTAATAACAAATCTAATTTTATTTTTTATCTACACTGCTGTATTTCACTTCCTACAACCTCTTCACAATGGCCGCGTTCAGCAGACTCAACAGTTGGACAACATTACTAGGGCTGCGTTCCGATATTCACTGCCAGCACTGAAATTCTATAGTATACGTAACACAAACTATGTATTTTCAGTACTGGCAGTGAATTTCGGAACGCAGCCTAGATTTAGCACTGAATCTCGCTCCTGATTGGTAAATACTTCAGGGTCTATGAAGAATCTAAAAGAATGCTCCAATCACAAACAATAATCACTAAGCGCTCTCTGATCATTTTGTTCTACTGAATGCGGCCAATGGTTGCGTTTAGAAAACAAAACGCTCACTGAGCGCTCAGTAACTATTGATCCTTACTGTTAGATCCTTACATTTAGACCAATAACGTTGACGAATTACTCAACCGTTGTGTAACCGTTTGTGTAACCGTTGTGTTTTCTGAACGCAGCCAGAGTTTCTCTGTTTATATATGTTACACGCATGCGTACAATAACAACCAATGAAAAGTGCTCACACTTTACCTCGTCACCCTCCCCGCAATGGCTTCATCCCCACCGAGCTTACGCTCCATCTCTATATTCCTATATCTATGCTGTACTCTCCCTTGAGGTACACTAGGCACGGCTAAAAGCGGCCCGTGACACCTCTCCTTCTTTTTTCTGGTAGGGATTTCGAGTATTTGCTTAAGGCCTGGTCTACAATACGTGTCGCAAGTTGTAAGCCGTAAGAATTGGCGAATCACAGTCGATTATTACAAAAATAATCAGCTATAATTGGTCAGTTCTTATGGCTTACAGCTTACATCTATTGTAGACCAGGCCTTAAGCCAGCGGCACACGGTGCTTGTTTTCGTGCTGGATTGCTTGTTGGATGAAAATACTGCATTCTGATTGATGCATTTCCATCCATCTTCGGAAATGTACCAATCAAAACGCAGTATTTTCATCCAGCAAGCAATCCAGCACGAAAACAAGCACCGTGTGCCGCTGGCTTTAGTGCGCGTGCGTGGAAAAATTCCCATGAAAGCACATTACTGCTTTCGCCACACGTGACGATAATACTTATTATATATTTTTGTCATTATACTTATTGGACTAAAATAGTGTGCGCTTTTAGTTTTTATTTTCATGATGAAGATTAAAATGTTAACTAGAAATCCTGATGAGTATCTACGAGAGACTAAACGAGATATTTATAAAAGTAAGTTAATATGTAAAGCTAATGGTAACTTACATCTTGCACACAGATCCTTGACGTATAAAATGTATTCTTACTATTAATGGAATATATTTTCTCTATTAGTGAATATTATTAAAATTAATTGAGTTCTTAAGCAAGTTCATCTGTTTTTCACATGCATATTTTTTCATAAATATTTAAAATGAAGATTGATATATTGTTTTAACTTGTTATGTACAGTTTACGCTATACTAGATTTTAATTTTATATCTTTATATATCAGCTTAGATATGAATAAACATTATTTTGATTACAGTCCCTAGAAATTATGATCCATCTTTACATCCATTTGAAGCTGCAAGAGAATATACAAGAGCATTAAATGCTGTTAAACTAGACAAAATATTTGCTAAACCATTTCTTAAAAGTCTAGAAGGCCATAAAGATGCTATATCTTGTATATGTAAACATCCTTCCAAATTGTCTATTCTTTTAAGTGGTGCATATGATGGGGAAATAAGAACATGGAACCTGTCCTCAGGAAAATGTATACGTTCATTTTTGGCTCATGATGGTGTGCTTCGTAGTATCACTTATGTGCCAGATGCAGAACACTTTATCACTGTTGGTGATGATAAAACAATTAAGACCTGGAGTGCTACTAAAGAAGATGAACCCTTAAATACCATTATCAGCAAGGTATATAATATTTTGCATATAATTAAAATTTTTCAAATATACAAAAAATTCAGGAAGATTTTGATTTTTAGACAGTACTTACTGGTATATCTCATCATCGAGATAAACCTATATTTGCCACCTGTGGAGAAAAATGTCATATTTGGGAGCAAACACGTAATGAGCCAGTTCGTACATTTGAATGGGGTGTAGATAGTCTATATGATGTGAAATTTAATCCTGTACAGAGTAATCTTTTAGGTATAATATGTTAATATATACACTTTAGTCTCAATATTTAATTCAATAGTAGTTTTTTTATATATGTGAGATTTACTAGAAATACGGATGAAATTTTTTATTAAGTTGTATTCACAAATAATTGAAGATGATAGATAAAATTATATTGCTTTTCTTGCAGCTGCTTGTACAAGTGAACGCAGAATAATTTTATATGACACTAGAGATACGGGTCCACTGAGAAAGATAACAATGAAATTACGAAGTAACAAGCTTGCTTGGAATCCTATGGAATCCATGACTTTCACATGTGCTAATGAAGATTATAAGTAAGATAATAATGAAAATGAATGAGATAAAACAAATTACTTGTTACTTTACATGAAAACATTAAATATATTTCTTTTAGTTTATACACATATGATATCCGAAAGTGGCAAACGCCAGTTAATGTACATATGGATCATGTGGAAGCAGTAATAGATGTTGATTATTCTCCAACTGGAAAAGAATTCGTTTCGGGTAGTTACGATAAATCAATTCGTATCTTTGAAGTCAACAAAGGTCACTCGCGAGAGGTGTATCACACAAAACGTATGCAGAGACTTACTTGCGTAGGATGGTCACTTGATAATAAATACATAATTACTGGCAGTGATGAAATGAACCTTCGTCTATGGAAGGCTAGGGCATCAGAAAAACTTGGAATCGTAAGTAACGATTTTGAAATTTATAGATATATATGTAATTTAGAACATGATACCAATAATCATTTGTGTATCGCTGTATGTGTTAATGTGTATGACACTTACATAATGTAACAAATAGTAAGCCAAACTTTTGTGATATATTTAAGTATGAATTTGCCAATGATTGAAAACTTTCCATTCTGATTATTCTGTAATCAATTGATTTTTGTCAAAAATCTCGACACTTCAATATTGTTTTTGAGAGGGATAATTGTGATAAATTTAACTATATCACTTCATTTTCTTAATTAGAGTAACTACTTCTTAAAAGATCCTAAATAGCAATAAGGGTTAAATGATATATTATTTCAAAAATATTTTAATTCACTTCTCAATGGTTTTTATTTTCTTTTTTTAATTTGAACAAATATGTTTTGAAAAATCGCATTTAGAAAAATTTTAGTATGAAATATTGAAAATTAAGAATTTAAAGAGAAATGTATTTTATTAAATGTTCAAAATACTGCTCACCAATCTCCACAATTATATAATTATAAAGTTTGTTCAAGATTGTTATAAACATTTTTAAACATTTCTGGTGTTATCCTATGGCATTTTGGATATATTATAAAATAAATCTTTCTGCAAGTTGTTGATTTTCAATTCTTCATATCCAAAATTTCTAAATGCAAATTTAAAAAAAAATATTCACTCAAGTTTAAAAAAATAAACATAGTGAAGAGAATTAGAACCTTTTGAAATACTATGTTATTTGGTCTCTATTGCTATTTAAGATATTTTGGGCGCAACTATCCCAATTAAGGAAATAAAGTAATATAATTAAATTTACCACAATCATACAGTGAAAACAATATTAAACATATTGATATGTATCAGCATTTTTGACAAAAATCAATTGGTTATAGAAAAATCAGGGTAGAAAGTTTTTATTAGCGGACCCTGTAAATTTATGCTAATTATTTCTATTATTTATTATAGGTTAGAAGTAGACAGAGAACATCACTACTTTACAATGAAGCACTGAAGGAGAAATATATGGCTCACCCACAAATTCGGCGAATTGCACGTCACAGACAAGTACCGAAACACCTGTATAATGCGCAAGCTGAGTTACGAAAAATACGTGAGAAAAATAAACGCAAGTAAGTACAGCTGTGTGGATAATAAATTTTTATATTTTATAGATATATATTTATATTTTATAGATTTATTGAGCAATATCTTAATGAATACATTTTATCTTTCAGGGAAGCAAATAGACGTTACCATTCCAAAAAAGGAGCCGTACCATTTGTGTCGGAAAGAGAAGCACACATTGTGCGTCATGATTAAAATATTCTTATATTGTTATATATTTTATACAATTAAAAAAATATTTTCTAGTCTTTATTATCTTTGTCATTTATATGCTCGAATCATCGTGTTTTAGTTCCATTATTAAATTTTATATAAAATATATATTCATAAGAAAATATAAATAAAAAGTAATTTTGTGTATGATATTTGTTATAAGAAAATAATTTTTTTGGATATAATAGTAAAAATATATTAAAAAGGTGTATATAACAAGTATCGGGATGGTGAAATATCTCTAAAACTAAGCATTTAAAAAATGTTTTAGACAAAAGTTGTATGGTTTCAAGGGGGACATAAAACAACTATATCATTTTGTTTATAGATGGTGTCATTTTTGAGATATTCACTGATCATTATTTTTTTAAAATGGAAACCCTAATCTTTTATTATATCTTTTCTACCAATTAATTGTAGCAACTTTTGTCTGAAAGATTTTTTATTTGTCTAATATTTTTTGAGATATTGTAAGTTAAATATTGAAAAAGTTATCAAGTTTTCTATAAATATCTCAAAAAAAATTAGGCAAATAAAAGTTGTTCAAATTAATTGGTAGAAAAAATGATATAATAATAAATATGATATAATAATAAAAAATTAAGGTTTTCATTTAAGAAAAATAATGATCAGTAAATATCTCGAAAATGGCGCCATTTGTAAACAAAATGGTCGCGTTCAGCGGAAAAAACTGCTCCGCTTCCGTTCAATAGCAAACGTCTCTGATTGATACATCTGTTCGGACCTGCCAAAGATTTAAAAAAATTCTCCAATCATGAACATTTGCTACTGAGTGGTAGCGGAGCAGCAGAGAGAAGGAGAGATGCCATGGGTCGCTTTTAGCCGAGCTTAGAGACCCTAGAATACAGAGTCTGGACATCTGAGCTAAAACCCCTCAAAATGGCGTACATATACAGGGTGTCCGGAATGTGATCATTAATATTTTGTATACTGGTAGAATTCGTTAAAACAATTAAAAAAGTCCTGTGCTATTTTACAATTTTTTCAATATTTATTCTGTAATTAATTAAAATGTTTAAATGAATGAGCGCACGAGAAAGCGACAGGACGGGCTCTGTGTATAAGAAGATGGCTTACCTCTTAGCAACGATGAATAAACAGCTGATTTCGGGACGGAGTGACTAGCGACCGTTGTTATATGACGCTGGTCACTCCGCCCCGAAATCAGCTGTTTACTCATTCTTTTTCTTCTTCAATAAATGACTGTGCATACAATAGATGCTCTAACGCCACTCACACGAAGCTGTTTACTCATCGTTGCTAAGAGGTAAGCCATCTTCTTATACATAGAGCCTGTCCTGTCGCTTTCTCGTGCGCTCATTCGTTTACACATTTTAATTAATTACGAAATAAATATTAAAAAAATTGTAAAATGGCGCAGGACTTTTTTAATTGTTTTAACGAGTTCTACCAGTACACAAAATATTAATGATCACATTCCGGACACCCTATATAGTGAGGAGAACTATAATAACAGAAAGAGTGAGTATATAGAATTGACTGCTTTTATTATTATTATAATAGAAGATATAAAAAGGAAGGGTAAGTAATAAATGACAAGATATTTGATTATCTTAATAATAATATATGAAACTGAAATTAGAAAATTCTTCATAAGATATAAGTTAAAATACATAAGTTATGTTCTCCCTAACTTTAGAACATAATATCAACTATAATTATAAACTTTAATTACAGAATAAACCATGTCTACACAACAATATGACGTCTAAAAGACGCCTTAAAATTTTTTAGACATCTTAAAAAGTTGTCAGAATGACGCTTTTATGACATCTTTAAGACGTCTTTTAGATATTATTTTAAGACGCCTTTTAGACATTATTTTAAGACGTCTTTTAGACATTAATTTAAGACGTCTAAACGACGTCTTATTTAAGATAATTTTAAGACGTTTATAATCTAATAGCCAGTAATACAGGTTACTGTAATTTTAATAAATAATCGTAATTTTATATAATAAAATTTAATTTAATAAAATGTGATTTTATTTAATATAATATAACATAACATAATATAATATATAATATAATATAATATGATTTGGAAATGATCTGCACCATACGTTTGGCAAAGATCCGGATCACATTCCCTGACAGCCAGATAACGAGGACACTGCTTTGTATTGCATTGCGCCTTGCACCTACACTCAGGAAATCTGTTCTAGCATTCCCTGCTGATAAAACTTCTCGCAGAAGTTTTGTGCTTGTATACGTATATTTTTACTTTGATATTTTTATGTTTCGAGATGTCCATAAAAAACTTGAACATATTTCAAAAAGTTCCTTTACCTACATGTGCAAAAAACCTCTATTACTACAATTTTGCAAAATTGGGCAGACAAATGAAAATGTAAAATTTAATTAAAAATAGAGAGGCATACAAATCAGGCAATGCTTATTTCCTTTCTAATATTTCAGCTGTATGTATTCGCTTGATGCACCATTTATACGTGCACTCGCTCGCCTCTTGTCGCTTGCGCTCGCTCGCTCCTCGTCGTTCGCGCTCGCTCGCTCCTCGCCGCGCGCGCTCGCCTCTTGTCGCTTACATTGCCCCTCGCCGCGCGCGCTCGCCTACCGTCACTCGCTGACTCCGCCTGTATCAAATGTCTACGTGCTTACTGCGGTCGCCCTCCGCTCTCTACGCGCTCGTTGGCTCACATGTTTTAATTAATAACTCGATAACTATTGGCAATTTGACATTATGGTACATGACTTTTCTTCTCGGCTACACCCAATCTATCTCCAACTTTCGTCTGCATGATCAGCTATCAAACACCCTGTATATACATATATTAGAGAAACTCCATTTCTCGCTCGATACCGACGAATTTTAATTGTTCCGTGGTCTATATCTGAAAATTATCGCATGATTTTAATTGTTTGCAATTAATAAATTAAACAAAACATTACAGCGACATACCTATAGTCAAAAAATAATTCTTCAGCAGGTTGAATCGCTCTCTTAGCAAAAATACTTATTCTATGATCACCGTTCACCATCATTACTTTCACATAACAATTTGGATTTATCGAGTGATTAGCGAACTTTATTTTATTCCCTTTCCGTATCGCGTCTACAACAAAATCTGAAACCGACCAAAATCTTTTAATTTTTATTATTTTTCAACATTTAATTAACCATTATATCTATCTCTATTTACCATTGTTAAGATTAAAAAGGAAACTACATATATATTTATCATATACTTTTCCCTTCCTGTCAGCTTCGTCTTGACTGATAATTTCGCCGCAATATTCCGAGATGAATTCATTCTTCGCTGCTGATCTTTCAAATTGTATAAAGTATATTTCAAATCAAAAATTCTACTCATTGAGATTATACTGATTTTCACTCTAATAAATTAAATTTTTTGATACTTATAAAGACCACGTTGCACGCTGACATTTTTGCAAGATTTAGAATTGATTTGAAAATAATCTGCACTATACGTTTGGCAAAGATCCGGATCACATTCTCTGACAGCTAGATAACAAGGACATTGCTTAGTATTGCATTGCGCCTTGCACCTACACTCAGGAAATCTGTTCTGGCATTCGCTGCTGCACTGATAAAACTTCTCGCAGAAGTTTTATGCTTGTATACATGGGCATGAATTATCACACTGACGGCCGGGATGATCACAAGGTGCAAAATTGTGCACCTATTCATTCAAATGAAACGTACGAATTAAAGGCAAATAAGATGAGGGAATAGTATAAAATTTAACATACCCGAGTCCTTAAGTTGTATTTTCCGGCAATGCATAGACCACAACCGATGCTTTTTTTCTTTTTTCGCGACGGTGTGAAGTCCTTGAGACTTTCTATAGCAAGAATGTTCTTTCTGCGCAAATTCGTATACTTCCTTGCATGTTTTTGTTAATAATCATTTTTGTTAATAATCATACTTCTTAATCAATCACTGATGTTTAATCAAAAAATATTCTAATCAATCACTAATGTGTATCCCACTGATGATGACGATGTACCGATGTTGCGTACTTAACCCACCATTTCTTCCCAATGTTGCGTATACGCAACACGAAGTTTAACTTCACAAAATGCAGTCAAAATGAACTTATTTCACAATTAGTCTAACACTTCGTGAAAAAAAATAACTACTGACGTCAGTAATTAATTATATAAACTTCGTGTTGCGTATACGCAACATTGGGAAAAATAGGTTAATGTACGTATATTACGTTATAAAAATAATTGAAGAGCAACCTTTCTAGACAACAAGTCAATAAACACCTCTTTCTCACTCTCTCTCGCTTGCTCGCATTCGCTGCTCTTCAGCGCTCTCGTAGCGCCCCTGCGATTCTTTAAGGACCAGTTCCATAACTTGCTTTAAACGGAGTTTAAAGCTAAACCGATGGTTAAAAGCAATAGTATATGCGTATATACTATTGCTCTTAACCATCGATTTAGCTTTAAACTCCGCTTAAAGCAAGTTGTAGAATTGGGCCTAAAGCCAGCTGCACACGGTACTTGTTTTCATGCTGGATTGCTTGCTGGATGAAAATGCTGCGTTCTAATTGGTACATTTCTGAAGATGGATGGAAATGCACCAATCAGAACGCAGTATTTTCATCCAGAAAGCAATCCAGCACGAAAACAAGCACCGTGTGCCGCTGGTTTAAAGGTCTACCACAGATGTCTATACTATACTAGATTGCTAACTTCGATTTTTGACCTATACAAGAGCTATGTCCCGCCTATTTTCCGGTTCGGCCATGAAGACCGCCAAAACATGGCGGCGGTGTGTGTTTGTAGTGCGTACGTAAGTATCCGATGCGTGTGTAGTGCTGTACTGTAAGTATGTGATACCTGATGTGTCTACACTGATGTGTCGTATCTACTGCTATTTATATTAGTAAAACTGCAAATATATAAACGAGATAATGCCAAGTACATGTTGCATTGTTAATTGCAATAATACGAATAAAAAAGGATATCACTTATTTAAGTAAGTAGAATACATTTATATATAATAAATGTTCGAGGTTTGTAATATGTGAGGGTTATCTTGCAATTAAACATTGTTAATATTATTAATATTATGTTAATATTATTAATATTATTAATATTAGAATGTATTCACTTACAAAAACAACGAAAGATAGAAATCCTGCAAATAACAGACACAAATTTACAAAATTAATATTATTTAATAACACATAAGTTGCATTTTATTCTTTATATGTATGTAAAAAATATTAATACAAATACTTTGACATATTTTGAACTGTATATATTCAATTTAATTTTAACCTTTACCAAACACTTAGATTAGCAACACCTTATTAATACACACATCTTTAAATGATATTCTTTCTTGTTCGTATTTTTGAAATTTACAATACTTATTCGGCATTATCTCGTTTGTAGATTTGCAGTTTTACTAATATAAATAGTAGTAGACACATCAGGTGTCACATACGCACTACCACGCACTACTACATATGCATCGGGTATTCACATACACACTACAAACACACACCGCCGCCATGCTTGGCGGTCTTCATGGCCGAACCGGAAAATGGGCGGGACACAGCTCTTTTGAGAAGTTAGCAATCTAGTATAGTATAGACATCTGTGGGGTCTACAGGGAGCCAGAGACAAATCCAGCGTTGACTTTGGAGGCCTCGTGCGGCGAGATCGCGAACTAACATCGTGCGCGCGAGCGCAAGAGCAGGAAGGTTGGGTCAAGTCAGATTGACAAGGACGAACAATCGATCGCACTGTCCTTATCTTACTCACTCGGGCATTTCGTCGGCCGATACACGGCGAGAAAATGCTTTTCAGGCTTTTGGGTGAGTGAGCCAAGTGTCACAGCGACTTACGTGCAATACCATTTTACAAATTGACGTATTTTATCTAGCTGACGTTATATATCACCGCCAAATTATTATAGCATGTTCCTTATATTATTCCCGAGATCCTCACAAAGCCAGATTTTGCAATCCGGCCGTCCAAAATTTATGAAAAATAAAAGAAGCGTCCGCCGTACCAAGCATCGCTGCGAATCACTCCAAAAATTATTTTACAAGATGCAAAATTTCGCCTCGTTGATGATACGTATAATTGCTAAACTGTTACATCATATTCCTTGAACTATCCCTGAGGACCTTACACAGCCAGATTTTACAATCCGACCGTCCAAAATTTATAATATATATATATAAAGCATCAGCCGTACCAGGAATTGCAGCGAGCCAGGTGGAATACCATTTTACAAGAAGCAATATTTTGCCTTATTGACATAATATATGACCATGAACTTGTTATAGCATCTTCCTACAACTATTTCCGAGATCTCTACAGAGTTAGATTTTACAAATAGGCTATCAACAATTTATTATACATAAATAAAGCGTCAGCTGTACCAAATCGCAGCGAGTCAGGCGGAATACAATTTTACAAGAACGGATATATTGTTTCGTTGACAATATATATAATCGCCAAATTATTATGGTATCTTTCTTGAACTATCCCCGAGAACCCTACAGAGCCAGATTTTGCAATCCGGCCATCAAAAATTTATCATACATTAATAAAGCGTCCGCTGTACCAAGCATCGCTGCGAGTCACTCGAAATATCATTTTACGAGATGCAATATTTCGTCTCTTTGACGATACGTATTATTACCAAATTGTTACAGCATCTTCTTCATACTATTCCCGAGATCGGTACAAAGCCGGATTTTGCAATCCGGTCGTCAAAAATTTATAATATATAAATAAAGCGTCGTCCCCGTCGTACCAGGCGTTGGAGCGAATCAGTTGAAAAATCATTGTAGGAGATGCAAAATTTCACCTCCTTGGAGATATGTTTCACCGCCAAATTGTTATAGCATCTTTTTTTAACTATTCCCGAGAAACCTACAGAACCAGATTTTGCAGTGAGGCTGTGAGAAATGTATCATAAATAAATAAAGATTTATGAAGCATCGGGGCGGATCACGTACACCATTTTACAAAATGAGATATATTACTTCACTGATGTACTATATCATCATCATATTGTTATAGCATATATCTAAAACTATTCCCAAGATCCTCACAAAGCCAGATTTTGCAATCGGACTGTCTAACTAACTTTTATTATAAATAAATAAAGATGCATCAAGCGTCAAAGTGGATCACGCGAATACAATTTCACAAGAAGAGATATTCCGCTTTGTTGGCGTAATATATATATAACCGCCGAGTTGATATGGAATATTCCTTGAACTATTATCGAGGTCCCTACAGAGCCAGATTTTGCATTCCGGCCGTCAGAAATTTATCATATATTAATAAAGCGTGTGTCGTACGAAACATCGCAGCGAGTCTCGCGAAATACCATGTTACAAGAAAAAATATTTTGCCTCGTTGCTGTCATATAACAGCACCAAATTGTTATAACCTATTCTTTGATCTATCCCCGAGGTCTCTACAAAGCCAGATTTCGCAATCAGACCGTCTAACATTTATCGTATATAAAAGACTGCACCGGGCATTGCAGCATGTCACGTACAATACAATTTTGGAACATGAGAAATATTGCCTCGTTAACGTAATATATCACCGTCAAATTGTTCGGCCGTATTCCTTGTATTATTTCTAACGTCACTATAAAGCAGGGTGTTGATTATTAACACATATATTATATATTATAAGCGACTGTACAAGATAACAACATGTAACTGTTAACTGTTAACTCCTACAAGTAACTGTAGGAACCATTAAAGTTGTTGTAATATTAGAAGCTTATTAATGAATTTATTTTTATTTCTTATATTTCAGGACCGATTTTGTAAATATATATATAGGATGCTAAATTTCAAACGTAACAGGTAGGAAATCTAGAAAACTATGAAAGATATTAAAAAAAGCTAAAACACGTGTCCCATTATTTCGAAGGAGAAACAGAATGGCATTATCAGTTTTTTATTTGGAGGGCATTTTCAAGGTGAGTTGAAGATCAACTTAATTTTTTTAAATAGAAAACCCAATTTTTTATTATATTTTCTTTTTCTACCAATTAATTTTAACAACTTTTGTCTGAAACATTTTTTATTTGTCTAATATTTTTTGAAATATTTAATATTTAAGGAAAACTTGGTAACTTTTCCAACATTAACTTACGATATCTCGCTAACTATTCGTCGACAAAAAAAATAGTATTAGACTTTTTTACTTTATTTACTATCAAGAATATATTACTATAATCAAGGATATATTACTATAATAATGTCCTAACTTTTGTTAATGTAATAATTCTGAAATTTCCAAAGGTCTATAAGTTAACAAAAGTTAGGGCACTATTATAATAATATATTCTTGATAGTAAATAAAATAAAAAAGTTTAATACTATTTTTTCTTTCGACGAATAGTTAGCGAGATATCGTAAGTTAAATGTTGGAAAAGTTACCAAGTTTTCCTTAAATATTAAATATTTCAAAAAATATTAGACAAATAAAAAATGTTTCAGACAAAAGTTGTTAAAATTAATTGGTAGAAAAAGAAAATATAATAAAAAATTGGGTTTTCTGTTTAAAAAAATTAAGTTGATCTTCAACTTACCTTGAAAATGCCTTCCAAATAAAAAACTGATAATGCCATTCTGTTTCTCCTTCGAAATTATGGGACACGTGTTTTAGCTTTTTTTAATATCTTTCATAGTTTTCGAGATTTTTTACCTGTTATGTTTGAAATTTGGTACCCTGCCCCTCCCCCATATATATTTACAAAATCGGTCCTGAAATATAAGAAATAAAAATAAATTCATTAATAAACTTCTAATATTATAACAACTTTAATGGTTCCTACAGTTACTTGTAGGTTAACAGTTAACAGTTACCTGTTGTTGTCCCGTACAAGTCGTTTATAATATACATATGTGTTAATAATCAAAATCCTGCTTTATAGCGACGTTAGATATAATACAAGGAATACGGCCGAACAATTTGACGGTGATATATTACGTTAACGAGGCAATATTTCTCATGTTCCAAACTTGTATTGTACGTGACATGCTGCAATGCCCGGTGCAGTCTTTTATATACGATAAATGTTAGACGGTCTGATTGCGAAATCTGGCTTTGTAGAGACCTCGGGGATAGATCGAAGAATAGGTTATAACAATTTGGTGCTGTTATATGACAGCAACGAGGCAAAATATTTTTTCTTGTAACATGGTATTTCGTGGGACTCACTGCGATGTTTCGTACGACACACGCTTTATTAATATATGATAAATTTCTGACGGCCGGAATGCAAAATCTGGCTCTGTAGGGACCTCGATAATAGTTCAAGGAATATTCCATATCAATTCGGCGGTTATATATATATTACGCCAACAAAGCGGAATATCTCTTCTTGTGAAATTGTATTCGCGTGATCCACTTTGACGTTTGATGCATCTTTATTTATTTATAATAAAAGTTAGACAGTCCGATTGCAAAATCTAGCTTTGTGAGGATCTTGAGAATAGTTTTAGATATATGCTATAACAATATGATGGTGATATATTACATCAGTGAAGTAACACATCTCATTTTGTAAAATGGTATTGTACGTGATCAGCCCCGACGCTTCATAAATCTTTATTTATTTATGATACATTTCTCACAGCCTCACTACAAAATCTGGTTCTGTAGGTTTCTTGGGAATAGTTAAAAAAAGATGCTATAACAATTTGGCGGCGAAACATATCGTCAAGGAAGTGAAATTTTGCATCTCCTACAATGACTTTTCAACTGATTCGCTCCAACGCCTGGTACGACGGGTACGACGCTTTATTTATATATTATAAATTTTTGACGACCGGATTGCAAAATCCGGCTTTGTACCGATCTCGGGAATAGTATGAAGAAGATGCTGCAACAATTTGGTAATAATATGTATCGTCAAAGAGACGAAATATTGCATCTCGTAAAATGATATTTCGAGTGACTCGCAGCAATGCTTGGTACAGCGGACGCTTTATTAATGTATGATAAATTTTTGATGGCCGGATTGCAAAATCTGGCTCTGTAGGGTTCTCGGGGATAGTTCAAGAAAGATACCACAATAATTTGGCGATTATATATATTGTCAACGAAGCAATATATCCGTTCTTGTAAAATTGTATTCCGCCTGACTCGCTGCGATTTGGTACAGCTGACGCTTTATTTATGTATAATAAATTGTTGATAGCCTATTTGTAAAATCTAACTCTGTAGAGATCTCGGAAATAGTTGTAGGAAGATGCTATAACAAGTTCATGGTCATATATTACGTCAATAAGGCAAAATATTGCTTCTTGTAAAATGGTATTCCACCTGACTCGCTGCAACTCCTGGTACGGCTGATGCTTTATATATATATATTATAAATTTTGGACGGTCGGATTGTAAAATCTGGCTGTGTAAGATCCTCAGGTATAGTTCAAGGAAGATGATGTAACAGTTTAGCAATTATACGTATCGTCAACGAGGCGAAATTTTGCATCTTGTAAAATAATTTTTGGAGTGATTCGCTGCGATGCTTGGTACGGCGGACTCATTTATTTTTCATAAACTTTGGACAGCCAGATTGCAAAATCTGGCCCTGTAGGGACCTCGATAATATTTCATGGAATATTCCATATCAATTTGGCGGTTACATATATCGTCAACGAAGAGGTATATCTCTTCTTGTGAAATTGTATTTGCGTGATCCGCCTTGACGTTTGGTGCATCTTTATTTATTTATGATAAAAATTAGGCGGCCTGATTGCGAAATCTGGCTTTGTAGAGACCTCGGAAATAGATCGAGAAATATGTTGTAACAATTTGGTGGTAATATATGAGTGCAACGATGCAAAATATATTTTCTTGTAACACAGTATTTCGCGGGACTCGCTGCGATGTTTCGTACGACGCTCGCTTTATTAAAATATTATAAATTTTCGACGGCTGGATTGCAAAATCTGGCTCTGTAGGGACTTCTATAATAGTTCAAGGTCTATAATATTTCATTTATATATTCTATATAAATTTGGCGGTTACATATATCACCAACAAGGCGGCTCTCTTCTTGTAAAATGGTATTGTACGTGATCCGCTGCGACGCTTCATACGCTTTATTTATTTATGATACATTTTTCACGGCCTGGCTGCAATATCTGGCTCTGTAGGTTTCTCGAGGTTAGTTCAAAGAAGATGCTATAATTATTTGGCGGTTAAATATATCGTCAACGAGGTGAAATTTTGCATCTCCTGCAATAATTTCTCGACTGATTCGCTCTAACGCCTGGTACGACGGATGGTTTATTTATATATTATAAATTTTTGACGACCGGATTGCAAAATCTGGCTTTGTACCAATCTCGGAAATAGTACGATGAAGATGCTGCAACAATTTGATAATAATACGTATCGTCAAAGAGACGAAATATTGCATCTCGTAAAATGATATTTCATGTGACTCGCAGCGGTATTTGGTACGGCGGACGCTTCATTTATTTTTCATAAATTATGGACGGCTGGATTGCAAAATCTGGCTCTGTAGGGACCTCGATAATAGTTCAAGGAATATTCCATATCAATTTGGTGGTTACATATATCGTCAACGTAACAAAATATCTTATGTTTTACAGTGGAAGCTGGAAGGTATTCATGTACATACACACGGTAATACTTATGCACTGCTCATATATACCCTAATACTAATGCATTGCTCACGCGACGCAAGGCAGGAAGGTTAGGTCATATAGACTGCACCATAGTGCAGCTAGGCTACACTTTCCGTGTATTTTTCCGTATAGCATATTTTGCCACGCAGCATCATAGTTGCTTATCAGACTTACATAGGCATCTTCCTTATATTAGTATCTATGTCGATACAGAGCCCGATTTTGCATTTAGGTTCTTGAAAATTTGTAATAAATGGAAATATAGGCTCGCTCTGTACCGCGGGATGCACTGTCATTCAAAATTTTTATTCGATTTTTATTCAGACCTTTTTTCCAAAAAAGCGCTCTGTACGAACATGCGGACGTTTCTCCTGATTACAAATATCATACATATAAGGTGATTCTCTTCGTATTTTGTTCATAATTTGCAATATAATTTTGCCTAGTTCGCGGGTCTCCGCAAGAGGTCTCTAATAGGCTCCTATAGACCCTTAATTCCAATAACGAGTTAAAGAATCGCACCACTGGGCTTATAAGTGACGCATATAATAAATAAAGCCAGCGGCACACGGTGCTTGTTTTCGTGCTGGATTGCTTGCTGGATGAAAATATTGCGTTGTGATTGGTACATTTCCGAAGATGGATGGAAATGCACCAATCAGAACGCAGTATTTTCGTCCAGCAAGCAATCCAGCACGAAAACAAGCACCGTGTGCCGCTGACTTAAGTGGTAATTCTTCTTCTCTTATTCTTTTCCTAGATGTCCTAACCAAAAAGTAGTTATCGCCATAAAACGGAAGTGCGTAGCGCCATCTTTCCCTGCTTGTTCAATTACAATTATCAATAACATACACCACATGGTAAATAGTTGGAATACGAACCAAATCTCTCTTTGTATAGTATTTTTCATATTATACATGTCACATATAGGAAAAAATTGAAATACGAACTAAATTTCCTTTTGTATAGTATTTTTCATGTCATACAAGAAGTTTTCTATTGTTGACAATATGATAAATTTGAATCTATTTCTGATTTTATTCTCTACCGCATGAGGTCTCCAAGATGAAATCGAAATTTGAGTTATAGCTCTTGTTAATTTTTATTATAGGAATAACCTCTTGAGTTGAGTGAGTATCTTGAGTGCTGCGTTGTATATGTCAATATATGTTTATGTATTTTTGAGCGGTATCGTTGCTTAAAGATTTCATAAATTTTTCAAAAATGACAAATAAAATAGTTATTAATTTAGCCAGAACATCCAAGATATTTCAACCTTTACCAAGCGGAATATTTGCTAATAAAGATAAAACAGAAATTTTATCTAAAAGTTACAAGGTATATAATTTGATTTGGGAGCATTATCAATCAGATATTTCTTAAAAATTAAATTTAATGGTGACAAACTGTCAGTGAAACCAGATTTTATTTTGTAAAACTTGATTATATTTTTAATTATCTTTAAATATTTATTCATACAATTTCAGTTAATGATTAATTATGGAATTATTAAATCAGTTAGTACTGGCATGTATTCTATATTACCATTGGGAATGCGAGTTTTAAATAAGTTAATCAAAATCATTGATAAAGAAATGACAGATTTGGGTGCAGAGAAAATTATGCTACCAGCATTAACTTCTGCTAAACTGTGGAAGAAATCTAATAGATATAACTCTAATAAAACTGAACTATTTACTGTTACTGATAGACATGACAAAGAATATATATTAAGCCCAGTAAGTAAGAAATATGGTACATATAATATATTGTGTCAAGATTATTGCTGTTTCAAATAAAAATTCTTTAAAAAAAATATGTTTCTATTACTATAATAATACATGATCCATAATTGAGAGAAATATAATCCTTATATATTGTATAATTACAGTTATTATAGAAGTAAAGATAAATGTTGGGAGAACTTTTCCAAGATAAAATAAGTTACATATAATGAATAAATTATTACTAGATTAGAAGGATATAACTATATTTTTATTACATCTTATTTTGAATGAAATTACCGATGAGTGTAAAAAGGAAAATATTTAAAGAATTTTTTATCAGATAAAAAAACATTGAAGTTAGTATTATGTCTTATTTTAAATCAAATTACTGATGAATGTAAAAGGGAAAAGTTTAAGGAATTTTTTACCAGATAAAAAGAAACATATTGAAGTTAGTAGCAAATTATTTTAATTAATAAGAAACATCTCACGATAAAATTATTTTAATATAATATAATTAATTTCAATTAATAAACATGGATAAACCTTTATTTATTTACTTTATAAGCAGCTTTGATCTAGACAGATTTAAATATAATACATAATCTATTTATATTAACATAAATATATATTTTTTAATGTTTTATGTTATAGACATATGAAGAAGCAATCTGTGACTTGGTATCAGCAACATATTTGCCTGAAAAATCATTACCTTTGAGATTGTATCAAATTTCAAGCAAGTGGCGAGATGAAATGAAACCACGGCTTGGTTTTATACGTAGCAGAGAATTTATCATGAAGGACTTATATACATTTGACACTACTTTGAATAAGGCACAAGATACATACAATCTGGTTTGCGAATCTTATAGTAATATTTTTAAACAGATTGGTATAGATCATATGAAGGGTAATTATTTTATGTTAATATTTATGTTATTAATATATTTGTTATTAATATTTTATGTTAAAAGGTCTATATTGTTTAAAAAAATTTACAAATTTTTGTAATCAAAATTAAATTAAAAGAATTTCATATACTTTTTCTTAACAGCTATTAAAAATCTAGTTCATTTAATCTACATCCAATATAGCGGTTGGCGATGTTGGAACAATTGGGGGTTTATCGTCACATGAATACCATTATATCTCTGATATTGGTGAAGATGTTATACTTTGGTGCTCTTCATGCAATTATACTATTAATGAAATAATTTCCAAAATAACAACTTGTCCAGAGTGTAAAGGTGAATTACAGCGACATAATTCCGTCGAGGTAAATTTCAGATAGAAATTATATATTTGATTTTCTTCTAGAACAATTTACTTTAAATAAAAAGTAACCAACAGAATTCCAGAATATTACGATTTTACAGTTAAATATTTTTTTATAAATCACTATAGATATACTTTTCAATTAAGAATTATATACTATGCAGTAATACAGTAAAAAAATTTGTAAATTCAAATATGTGAAAATAATGATTGCAGATAGGACATACGTTTTTATTAAATACAAAATATTCGCAACCGTTAAATGCAATGTACATAGAGAATAATAAATTAAAACCTATGATAATGGGTTGTTATGGTCTGGGAGTAAGTCGTATTTTCGCATTAATTGTTGAGATACTATCGACAAATAATGAGATGAGGTGGCCTACAAAGTTAGCACCATATACAGCATGCATCATACCTCCAAAGGTGATAATGTGATAATTAAAATTTTATATCTGTTAGAAAATATATATTGTTATATATATTGAATATATTGAATTTTGATCCATAGACTGGAAGTAAAGAAGAATATATATCTGCCTACATTGAGCAACTGTTCGAGATTCTCCAAAAACGTGATATCGACACAATATTGGATGATCGCACACAATTCACAATCGGTAAACGACTTGTATATGCACGTGCAATTGGTTATCCTTATATAATTGTTATTGGCAAAGCGGCAACTCAGTCGATACCCTTATTTGAAATTCACGACATAAACAATTCAGTTTCGCATAAATTATCATTGGAGCAAATAAGTGGTTTTTTCGATAATGTAAATTTGCAAGATTAAACGAGAATATACATATAGGACATGTGTATGTGTGTGTGTGTGTGTATCTATAGAAAGTGAGGAAACTAAATATTAACGAATATTGTATATTATGTGTTTACACAAATACATATTTACAACAAATATGATCATTATGCATATTTGTAAATAATGGTTTTCTTCGTATATACAAAATATCCTAGCAAACCAATTTCTAAAAATTGACATATAGTGCGGACCTCTCAACTAGGGAATATTATTCGTTTAACTATGAGAAGCTGTCAAAACCAAATGGAAAATTCATACTATTTGAGAGAACTGTACGATAAGCTATGTCTACTTTTCATATAACATTTCTTCATCTTTACCGTTTTACACTTTATATCGAATCTCTCAAGTAAACAATGTTGAGGAAAATTTATTGACATATTTAATTGTAGAAATTGATATACGCGTTCATGTACACACACGCGTGCCATAATCGACGATATCCGAACGTTTCAAAACGATCTTAAACTTCCGCATTAGAAAATAATACATCCGTTTCCTTGGTAGCGCATCTTACTGCCCTTCGACATAGTAAAACCAGGACAGCATTGGTCCTGCTGCATCAGTAGCTGCGAGTTACTGAGATTGCTGTTGAACGCAGCGCATTCGTTAGTATTGCTGACGTTTTCCTTCTGCACTTGTAAATCCAGGGACGGATTTGTCTCGTCGTCGGAACGCTCTGAGAACGTAGACGAGGATGAGGATGAGGTGGCATTAATCCTCACTTCAGGTTTTATATGTACTGCGACGGACTGATTGTCCGAACGCGCGGACAAACTGTTTCTGTGCTGCCGGAAGTGTTCTTCTGTGTCACTCAAAAGTGAAATGAACATATCCGACGCGTTTCTTACACCCACCGCGCCCATGGAATTCGATCGGCACTCTGTAATTCGGTGTTTTCATTAAATCATAGATTTTAGACGGCTGAGCGACAGATAATAAGAACGGCGTTAAATGAGATTAAAGTAATTCTACATATTATTCAAAATTGTTTGAGAGAGAGAGAAAGATTTCTTTTAATAAAACGCGAGACTATATTTAGTCAGACAGATAAGTTGCAGAAAAAGGAAAAAAAGAACAGGGAAGAGAAATAGAAGAGTAATTTTACCTTTGACTTCTACATTTTTCGTTGGTGAGTTCGCGACAGATCGTCGTGCGACATCCTGAAAGGTGATGGGAGAATATATTCTTCTCTCCTCAGGAAAAATTCCCGAGGGTCCAGGTGGCGTCGGGGATGATATCTTCGATGAGCGTCTCGACAAGATGTCGCCAGAAATCGGTTTTTCGAACATGCCCGGGCTTATCAGACCTATCGCGCTCACCGAGGAAACTCTTTTCTCGAAGTTCTTAGTGTGCCACTGATGTGGCTCCTGTATGGTGATCCCCTTAGTCGTGACAGAACGACGCTCTCGCTTTTCTAGCCAGTAGGTCTTCATTGTGCCTGAAGAATCCCAACATTCTCTGATAAAATGCTGGACATGTGAATATTAACATTGCCAGCGATATCGTCAGTAAAGTACTATAATAACAAATTACTCCACGTTTCGAGAACGCTGTTTTGCGTCAGAATCCCGAGTCTCACCTTTTCCCTTCACTTCGATCTCCCCGCGCTCCTTGACCTTGTACGTGGGCGACAATAGTTCTTGTGTGGATTGAGATATGTGTATCTGCATGGCCTGACTGGTCGCTTCCATACGAGATGCTGTGTTGACGGAATCGCCAAAGAGACAATACCGTGGCATTTTCAGACCGACGATGCCGGCCACGACCGCGCCGCTATGAATACCAACGCGTATCTGTAGGTGATTACCTGAGAAAATGGATATCTTTTTAATTTGGCGCTCGTTTGTTTTCGAGTAAATTTCGGTCGTGTGGATTCCCACACACAAACACAATAATCTACAAATATCCCACGGCATACCCGTTGAGCGGTCCTTGAGATCAGTTATCGCTTCGACCATATCGAGCGCCATGTCGCACACGCGATCTGCATGGTCGTTTTCTTTGACTGGCGCGCCGGAAACTACCATGTAAGCGTCGCCGATGGTCTCGACCTTGAATCAAGAAAACAACTCGTAATTCGTCACGGAATCATCGTCCCCTCATCGTTTTGTCGCAAAATTACACTTCAATATCCGTTTTTTAAGCTTGTTAAGCGCAAGTTTTCAAAACGAAACCAACATCCCGAGCAAGTTACGACATTGTACGCAGCGCTTACCGAGAAATCACAATTAACGTGTTTTCCTGATACCTACAACTAAAGAATAGTTTTTGCAATATTGTCTCTCAGGTACGTAACTCAGGTAAACGTAAATCGTGAACGTTATTCGCTCAGAAATAACGTCGCAATGTACGTGATCACTGAGAAAATACACTGAGAAAAATTGTATTAAAATTAAACAAATCTTTGTTCAAATACGACTGTGAATACATTTATTTAAATTAAGCAATTATTTTCTAAAATTCAAGAAAAAAGTTTACATTCAGAGAATGTATTTCATTTTAGAAATCAGTCGCTTAATTTGAATAAATTTATTCACAGTCGTAGTCGAACAAAGATTTGTTTAATTTTAATACAATTTTTTCTCAGTGTAGCATTCACGATTTATGTATCTGAGTGACAGTATTGCAAAAACTCCCCAATATACCTTGTACACTCGGTTCCTCTCGGTCAAAGTGTCAAATAACGAGTACATGGCGTTTAGCATGGATACAACTTCCATTGGCGAGATTCTGCTACAAATCTCGGTGAACGTCACCACATCCGAGAACAGAATGGACACGCTATCGAACATCTGCAAGAAGATAAACGCGACAATGTTTTTACGCTTTTATCAATGAATCGCGACTCTTTCTGTATCTCAATTGCATGTTTATATAGATGAGTATTCTAACTGCAGATCTTTCATTAGTTTCGTTTTTATTCGTTGCCGAGTTATCATAACGGAGATTTTCAATTATAATATTACAACATTAAAAACTATTGGAAGTAAGATGGAAGATGGTAGAAGTTGCGCGTATTTGTCCGAACAATTACGACGATACCTCCAAAGTACACACCTCACAAGTATCTATCGGACTTTCACCGTTCCTCAAACGATCGGCAACTTGTTTGGGAATCATTTGGTACAATAGCTCGTCCGTACGTTTCATTTCGTCATCCAATTTTCTCATTGACTCTTCCAGCTTTTTACTTTTCAGTTGTTCTTGATCCAACGCCAGTTTTAGCTCCACGGACTGTTGAGTCCCAGCGAGCATAAGATCCCTGATAGTAAAATATACGTTATATGAAAAATATAACTCATTATATTATTATTATTATTATTATATTATTTTGACAGAAGTATTTTATTAAAGATTTAAAGAAAATATATTGGGGACTTGAATAAGTTCTCGCTGTTTTTTCATGAAAATGAATGCTTTATTTAAAAAACTTAGTAAAGAACATGTCATTGAAAGTATTGTCCATCGCTAGCCACTACTTTCTCCCATCTTTTTAGCAGCATATGAATACCATGTCGAGAGAACGACTCATCTTTTGAGGTTATCCACGAATCGACCCATTTTTTGGCATTTTCATAAGAATGGAAGTGCTGCTCAGCCAGGCCACGAGTCATCGATCGGAACAAGTGGTAATCGGAAGGAGCAATGTCCGGTAAATACGGCGGGTGGGGTAGGATTTCCAATTTGAGCGTTTCCAAGTAGATTTTGACCGGTTTTGCAACATGTGGCCAAGCGTTGTCATGCTGCAAAATTACTTTGTCGTGTCTCTCCTCGTATTGCGGCCGTTTTTCCTTCAATGTTCGGCTCAAACGCACTAATTATAGTCGATAGCGATCTCCCGTGATGGTTTCGTTGGGTTTCAGGAGCTCATAATATACCACACCCAGCTGATCCCACCAAATATAGAGCATGAACTTGGAACCATGGATATTCGGTTTTGCCGTCGATGTTGATGCATGGCCGGGCTTACCCCACAATTTTCTACGCTTCGGGTTATCGTAGTGTATCCACTTTTCATCGCCAGTCACGATACGATGTAAAAAACCTTTCCTTTTCTGCCGTTGGAGCAGCTGTTCACACGTGAAAAAACGCTGTTCGACGTCTCTCGGCTTCAATTCGTACGGCACTCAATTTCCTTGCTTTTGAATCATTCCTAATGCTTTTAAACGTTTGGCAACTGTTGTGTGATCAACTCCTAATGATTCTGCAAGTTCATTTTGCGTCCGACATGGGTCTTCATCGAGTAATGCTTCCAATCCTTCGTCTTCAAACATTTTCGGTGCGCCAGAGCGTTCTTTATCTTCAACATCAAAATCATTATTTTTAAAGCGTCTAAACCAATCTCTGCATGTTGTTCCCGGCAGAGCATGGTCGCCGTAAGTCTCCACAAGAATTTTATGTGCTTCAGCTGCAGATTTTTTTTGAAAAAAGTAATGCAGTAAAATTCCCCGCAAATACTCTTTTTTTAGCACGAAATTCGACATGTTTAACGCTATGAAAAAATATGTTGTTCACGCTTCGGCGGAATAACATATACTGTCATTTCGAGCCTAATGGTGGAACTTTACGATGAAGTTGGCTGTAGTATCGCCCAATGCAAAAAGGCTAAGATAACACCATCTGTCGGGAAACAGCGAGAACTTATTCAAGTCCTCAATATTATTTTCTTGTTAACAAATGTTAGGTCGATTATGAACTTTCAAGATAAAATCTTTCTTATCTAAAAATTTTAATTACATTCAATTGTTGCAGGAAGGGGAACACTAAAGTAAGTACGCTAGCTACATTCTCCTCGGTATTTAAATCCTTGTGTATGTGTATGTAATTTCTCTTCTATCAGGAGGTTGAATTAATTCTGGTCTTATTTTGTCAATTTCTTTATCTTTATTTTAAAGAAATGCTTAAATTTACATCAATCAATATTTTCCGTCGTTAGCTGTGACTTTTTCCTATCTTTCTGGCAACATAGCGATTCCGCGATGATAAAACGATCTGTCTTTCGAAGCAATTCAATCAGATACCCATTTTTGCACATCCTCGTAATTATTGAAGTGTGTATCTGCCAAAGCGTGTTGCATCGATCGGAATAAATGGTAATCAGATAGTGCTAGGTCTGAAGAGTACGCTGGATGCGGAAGGATTTCCCATTCGAGCTCTAGCAATGTTTGTTTAACGATTGAAGCAATATGTGGACGAGCATTATCGTGTAAAAGAATCACTTTGTGTCTGTTGCTGGTTATCGCTGACCTTTTTTGCATTAATTCATCATTTAATTTGTTCAATTGTTGCTGGTATCGCTCTCCCGTGACTGTTTCATTCGGTTTTAGAAGCTCATAGTACACCACACCTTCCATATCCAAATACAGAGCATTGCTTTGTGACCGTAAATGTTCTGTTGGTGTCGATGTTGATAGTTGTTCTGGATCAACCCATGATTTTTTTTGCTTTGGATTATCAAAATAAATCCACTTTTCATCTCCAGTTACAATTCGTCACAAAAAACTCTTTTTCTGTCTGGCAAGCAAAGACATAGCACTATTCAAACGATTTGCAACGGTACTTTCACTCAATTTAATAGAACCTATTTGCCTCTTTTTTTAATTTTTCCCATAGCATGTAGGCATTTAGAAATTGTTGATTTATCGACATTAATTTGTTCAGCTAATTGCTTTTCTGTTTGAGCGATGTTTTCATTCAATAATGCTTGCAATTCAGAATCTTCGAATTTTTTTAGTTGACTAGTACTTTTGAATCGTTGAAACTAAAATTTGCAGTTGGAATACGATGGAGCTTGATCAGCATAAGTTGTAACAAGCATTTCATGAGCTTCAATTGCCAATTTTTTCAAATTAAACAAAAAAAGTAATGAATGTCGAAAATGCAATTTTGTACGATCCATTTTAGATGCGTATAAACCATGGAACTATCAGTAACAATAGCGCGCAAACTGTCATATATCATAGAGAAATGTCAAATCTTTCAATGTTGCCAGATTTCAACATTCGTACTAACCATTAACTTGTTACTAAAGCTATCTATTGCTAAGGGGTAGAACTAATTCAACCTTCTATTATTGTGCTATTTAATAATAATAATTTATTATAATTAATCTATATAATAATATAATAATTGTAATCTATTATTTGTGCTTTAATTTAATAATAATAATAATGTAAAATTTATTGTACAACTGTATGAAAATTCATTTTCCCATAGTTCAAACCTGTTTTTGAGAAAATGAATTTGACATCCAGACATTGTTTTGTAGAACGTCTGAAAAATTTCTTACCGACTAAAATCGTGCATCGATAGATCGTTTATGTATAAGCCTGTCGCTATCAAAGCGTTTAGATCGGGCATGACGGGTGTACCAAGATACATCATCATTTTCCAGTTGTCCATGTATATCATTTGACCTGAAAAGTGTCATTAACCCATTAACGCCCAAGCGGACATTTGAGTATCCTGCCTATCCAAAACTAAATTGTGCCAGAGAAACTTGCTCCCTAGGGGTAAAAATGTCCGCTCTTTCGATTCCCGCCGTTATTTTTTACTCACATCTCTCGGAAACTAACTTAAAAAGGGGTAAATTTTGGGAAAAAGTATCTGTGGCATTTTAATAAACGAACAAACGACGAGAAAAAAATGCTTTAAAATTAAAAATACATTATCTTGATGGTACATATACTTTTTCAGGACACTGGTGTGTACTCGATGGTATTTTTAAATTCCAACCCCTTGTACAGATAGTAGATAGAGGAATGGGATTGAACTGCTAAAATCGGGTCTTGAAACATCGAAACTTTTTCTTGAGCAGTCCTCACAATGTCTTCCATGTGTTTTATAATAATTCATCACATGCAACCTTAGCAAGGGTTGCAGAAGGTTGCAATAATATTGTTAGAGAGAGTGAAATATCGATATTCCTGTCAAGTATATATTTTTCGTACATTATGTTTTTTTGGAAATTAGAGAAATATTTTTTTCTTTTTCGTGCCATCTTTCGTGAAAAATTATCATAATTATCATAAAACACATGGAAGATATTGTAAGGACTGTTCAAGAAAAAGTTTTGATGTTTCAAAACCTGATTTTCAGAAATTTTAGCAGTTCAATCCCACTCCTCTATCTACTATCCTTACAAGGCGTTGAAATTTAAAAATACCATCGAATACACGCTAGAGTCCTAAGAAAATACCAAGGTAATGTTAAACTTTTAATCAAGGTAAACTTTTAATTTTAAAGCATTTTTTTCTCGTCGTTCATTCGTTTATTAAAGTGCCACGGACACTTTTTCCCAAATTTACCCTCTTTACACCCTTTTTAAAGAGGTTTCCGGGGGTTGTGGGTGAAAAATAACGGCGGGAATCGAAAGAACGGATGTTTTTATTTCTAGGGAGCAAGTTTCCCTGGCAAAATTTAGTTTTGGTTAGGGTACTCAAATGTCCGTTTACGTCCGCTTGGGCGTTAATGGGTTAAAATAAGTGACGTTATATACATAACAAGTAACGATATATTATCTCGTTAATCTAACCGAACATACTGATAAAAACTAGTAAAGGAACTAATAGTAAGAATAAATGTACCTTTCAGTCTCAATGTCTTGTCTTCAACAGTTTCAAGCTCGTCGCTTAAGAGAATTTCGTTTCTATGCCGGTCATTCAATCGATCTGTAAGCACTGGCTCGACCGTAACTAACTCGAAAATATTGTTCGTCCGATTCAGTATCTAAATTGCAGAAAATCAACCGTTAATACTACACGAGATATTCTCATTACAAAACAAAATGCCGACTTGGATGAATTTTTCAGTTGAAAGGGGATTGAGACGTTTATCGTACTGACCGATTGAAACTTGAACGCGATCAGAGGCCTAACTAAATCGAAGAAGTATGTAATCTTCTTGCCGACAAGATCTGGCAGTATGACCATTAATGAATTGCCGATGCTTCTGACCACCATGTCCGAACTAAAATTCAGAGACTTGTTGATCATATAAATTTTCTTATAAAATGAGCGCACACTTTACTAAAAATGCTAAACGATCTCGATTGATCACGGTCACGTACCCAAAGACAATGCAGAAGGGAAATATCTCGAAGAGGACGCACGCGCCGATCGGTAGATGCTTCTCCTCACGAGTCATCGCGAGCGAGGCAAGCGTGAAGGCCCGATTGTCGAAGGTGAGCTGAAATGTTACGTGCACGGTGTCGAACAGCACTTCCTCGCGCACCAATTCGATCTGCAGCTCTTTGTGATAAAAATGCCGCGCCACCTCCCTTATCTGACCCATCGTATAGTAGACGAAGCCACGGCGTTTGCTTCGGTAATGAAGAGTTAAACCTGCGCAAGCCGAGAAACCCAACGCTTAGACTCGCGATAACGAGTATAACATTATCGGAAAATAATACACAGACATAATGTACAGATTTATTCGAATAACTGCTGATTCTGACTGCTGCGAAGAAGAAATAGAGCGAAAAAAATCTCACCCTGTCGTGTCTCGTTTTCACAGATGAACGAAGGTGCTCGCATTCGCGGATAGGAGAACTTCAAGTACTCATGAAGATTGTCCAGGCCGTTGAGGAAATCTCTCACGTGACGTCCAAGTACCGAAAGTACGCGATCGTAGCCATATTGACCGACAAATCCTACAAAATGCACGCCCATCTGGTCGAAGAACTCTTTCTCCGTCACGCCAAGCACCTGGTGAAACGAGAGTATTTATACTTTAACGAATGTCCCTGTGAGAAAAACTGCCTGAAGGTACTTTAAGGCGCTTTAAGATATTTTCAGCTAAATGCGTCATTTGTGCGTGCTATTTAAAGTGAGACGTGATCATATATTTTGATGGAGAGAACGACGAAGACAAATCATGGTTTCAATGCTATACCTGGATCGCTTTCTTTGCCAGCCTCGGTATCAAGTTCTCTGGATAGACTTGGTGAACGCTGAAACTCGGTTGATTCACTGACGCCTGCCTACGGATCTCCTCCCACCTGTCTTCCCCGTAAACCTGCCTTATGTATTCGGCTAGATTTTCCAGGATTAGTCCATACATGTTTCTTCAGATGAGTCCTACCGCGTCTACTGAAAACGAACAAAGCATTTCGCTAGCAGTTCAGTCAATAAATTTGCAATACGCATGATATACCAGGTATATAAATATGAAACCGGAATTTCTGTATAGAAAATACACGTTTATTGTATGAAAATGATAAAAAATATTTTATTCGAAGTATTGCCCATCGCTAGCTATACATTTTTCCCACCTGTCTGACAATTTGTGGATGTCACGCCAAAAAAACTGTTGCTCTTTTGAGGCAAACCAGTCATCGAGCCATTTTCGTACACTTTCATAAGAAGTGAAACGCTGCTCAGCAAGTGCGTGTCCCATCGATGCAAATAAGTAGTAATCGGACGGAGCCAAGTCTGGTGAGTAAGCCACATGCGAAAACATTTCCCAACTAAACGCCTCAATCGTTTCCTTGACCAGTTTTACTGTGTGTGATGGTGCATTATCATGAAGCAAAATCACTTTGTGTTGCCTTTTTTGATATTCTGGTCGTTTTTCATGCAAAGCTTGATTAAAATCGATCATTTGTTGTCGGTAGCGTTCAGTATGAACGGTTTCGCCAGGTTTTAGCAGCTCATAATAGATCACACCCTTCTGATCCCACCAAACACAAAGCATTGTCTTCCGTCCATAGCGATTTGGCCTTGCAGTCGATGTCGATGGTTCGCCTGGAGTTACCTATGATCTTTTACGCTTAGGATTCTCAAAATATATCCACTTTTCATCGCCAGTCACAATTCGATGGAGAAATGACTTTCTTTTGTACCTGGCGAGCAGCATTTCGCAAGTAGTTTTTCAGTTTTCCTGCTGTCTTTCATTCAGTTCATGTGGAACCCATTTTCCCATCTTTTGGATCTTTCCCATGGCTTTCAAACGTATGGAGACGACTTCTCGTGTCACATTTAATTGATCCGCGAGTTGTTGTTGTGTTTGAGCGTTATCCTCATCCAACAATGCTTGCAATTCGCTGTCTTCAAACTTTTTCGGTTCCACGTTCTTCGTTTTTCACATCAAAATCGCGACGTTTGAATTTTTTAAACTACTCAAAGCACTTTGATTTACCAAGAGCATGCTCACCGTAAGCTTCGATAAGCATTCGATTCTGCAGCAGTTTTCTTCAAATGGTAACAGAAAATCAATGCTGTCCGCAAATCGTAGCTTCCAGGCACAAAACTCGACATGTTCAACGCTATTACAAACTATGCTGTTGTATGAAACTTGTATTGTTGTGAGTTGAAAATCTTAATCAGATGTCAATAAATGGAAATGGCGCCAATTACGCGGTTTGACGGTAACTACATTGACAGCTAGGGCCATCTATGGGCAAATTCCGGTTTCGTATTTACAGACCTGGTAATACACTCTGATAATATTTCAAGGTTAATTTATTTAATTCTTTATTCTTGATCCGATATATTCTTGCTAATATATTAATAATTATAATATATATTATATATATATATATATTATTAAGTCATTAAATATGAAATGTCCGATTTCTTTAAGTACCAAGTTCGACAGTCGATATCTCTGACCGATTTCACCTTTACAGTTCTTGGTTTTTTTTTGTGAAGGTACATCATTCTTTCAAACGCATATTTTGATTTGTGATTATCTTTCGAACTTTCTTTGTTACAGCAATTTTTGTGTAATCATGGATAAGCTAAAAATTCGAGTTATTTTCGAATATGAGTTCCGTCGTGGAACTAATGCAGCATAGACAACTCGAAATATCAACGAAGTGTTTGGTGAAAATGTGGCGAATGAATGCACAGTACGTCGATGGTTTGAGAAGTTTCGTTCTGGCGATTTTAATCTTGAAAATGAGCCACATGGGCGACCTAAGACCAAGGTGGATAATGATGAGCTGAAATCTGTAGTGGAAGCGGATACATCTCAAACCACGCATGAATTAGCAGCAAGGTTTAACGTTACTATTCCAACAATATTGGATCACTTGAAACAAACTGGCAAGGTAAAGAAGCTGGATGGGTTCCGCATCAATTAAACGAGCGTCAGAAGAGAAATCGTCTCGAAGCTTGCCTTTCTTTATTATCACGACATAAAGACGAACCATTTTTACATCGTATTATTACGTGTGATGAAAAATGGATTCTTTTCGACAATCGCAAGCGTTCGGCACAATGGTTGGATATAAGTGAAGTGCCGAAACACAATCCGAAACCGAATATTCACAAAAGAAAGCTAATGGCGTCTGTTTGGTGATCCAGCGCTGATATTGTCCACTACAGCTTCATGAAACCTGGTCAATCGATTACAACAGATATTTACTGTAACCAACTGGATGAAATGAGGAGGATGCTTGCGATTAAGCAGCCGAGATTGGTCAATAGAGACAGGCCAATCCTCTTGCAAGACAACGGTCGACTACATGGCACACAAACAACGTTGCTCAAATTACAGCAGCTGGACTTGGAAACTCTCTCCTGTCACCCACCATATTCACCAGACCTTGCATCAATTGACTATCACTTTTTTGAAGCATTAGACCACTTCTTGCAAGGAAAAATATTCAATTCTCAATAAGCTGTGGAAAATGCCTTCCGCGATTTCATCGTCATTCGTTCTTCAGGCATCTTCGCTGCTGATATGAATAAACTACCGTTAAGATGGTAGAACTTTGTCAATAGTTTAAGCGCATACTTTGATTAATTTTACTATTTCTGATTCTGATTCTTTGAGATATATTAGGAGTACAAATAAGTTTCCGCCGTTTGATAAAAGATGGCCCCACCAGGTTATGTTGAAATTGTCAGATGTAAAACGTAATATCGTAAGTTTGGACATCTGGTAACAACATAACCTTGAAGTATTAGTGACTCCGTATCAGCATCACATAATTTTTTTCGTGAGAAAATGTTAAGTTTTGTGCCGAATAAGCGTCATTTGCGGGAACTTTTGATGTACTTCTTTAATTTGAAAAAATCTGCAGCTGAGGCACATCGATTGCTTGTAGAAGCATATGGTGAGACTGCTTTAAGTGAGAGTTGTCATGAGTGGTTTCAAAAGTTTAAAAACGGTGAGTTTGACGTGGAAGACAAAGAACGTAGTGGAAGGCCGAAAGTGTACGAAGACACGGAATTGGAAGCATTATTGGAGGAAGATTAGTGCCAAACGCAAGAAGAACTTGCACTTACATTAGAAGTGACTCAACAAGCAATTTCACATCGTTTAAAATCGTTGGAAATGATTCAAAAACAAGGAAATTGGGTTCCATATGAACTGAAGCCGAGAGACGTTGAACGCCGATTTTGCACGTGTGAAATGCTGCTTGCCAGGCATAAAAGAAAGGGTTTTTTGCATCGTATAGTCACTGGTGATGAAAAATGGATCCACTACGATAACCCAAAGAAGAGAAAATCATGGGGACCACCTGGCCATGCTTCAACCTCGACAGCCAAACCGAATATTCATGGAAAAAACTCATGCTGTGTATTTGGTGGGATCAGCTTGGTATCGTGTATTATGAGTTGCTCAAACCGAGCGAAACCATTAGTGGAGCTCTCTACCGAACACAATTAATGAGATTGAGCCGAGCACTCAAGGAAAAACGCGCCCATTACTACTCTAGACACGACAAAATTATTCTCCTACATGACAACGCTCGGCCACATGTTGCAAAACCGGTCAAAACCTATTTGGAAACACTTAATTGGGAAGTCCCACCCGCCGTATTCATCAGACATTGCCCCTTCCGATTATCACTTGTTCCGGTCGATGGCACATGGCCTGTCCAAGCAGCGCTTTACATCATATGAAGATACTAAAAATTGGGTCGATTCGTGGATAGCCTCAAAAGATGAAGAGTTCTTCCGACGTGATATCCGAATGCTGCCAGAAAGATGGGAAAAAGTAGTAGCTAGTGATGGACAATACTTTGAATAAAACGTAATGTACCGTTCTTTCACAATAAATTTCTAATTTTTGATAGAAAACGGCGGAAACTTATTTGTACTCCTAATAATAAACCAAACTTTTGATTCGAAATCGGATATTTCATATTTAATGACCTAATATTAATATACGTTACTGATCAAAGATATATGATCTTGAATAAATATACATTAAATATATTTTAATATATATATATATCTTTTTTCGTGCGGATGGAATGTCGCACATGCGAATATAAATAAATAATGTAAAACAAGGGATTGAAAGTACTGAAAACTACAATGGAAGAGATCGGGTCAATAAGGGCGTTTTTTTGCCTCATAGGATTTACAAAAAACAATTTTTTTTGTATTGTATGATCATTAGGAATGTCAAAAATACCTGGGCAAAAATACCTTAAGGCAAAAAAGATCTCGAACCTTAAAACCAAAATTAATTATTAGTCTACATATATTATTATAGAATCTAAGCTCTTTTCATGGCTAATGAGTGAACTATTTTATTATAAAATATTTTCTCTCATTATAATTTTCTGCCGTCATATTAACGTCATTTTAAATTATCAAGAGATTTTGAAAATAGTACTGCCCATTATTTGTCCTATTGGACAAATGAAGATGAAGAAGAAAAATCGTCGTAATTATTAGAAGATGCTCAAAAATAATGATCGTAATATTTAATATGTTCAAAAAAAAAAGAAACTTGAATAAAAAAAATAAAAAATAAAAAAGAAAATAAAAAAAAATAAAATAAAAAAATTAAAACATCTCTGATTAAATGATAAAAACAATGATCATAGGTATGTCAAGAATAATAAAAAATTAATTTTTCCATTATGAGCCGTATTCACTTTCACCTTAGGCATGATACATGTTGTAGTCTAAAATGACGTTGACATGACGTTAATGTGATGCCAAAGAAGTACAATGAGTGAAAATATTTTATTAGTTCACTTATTATTCATAAAAAGGGCTTAGATATCACAGTAATATAATATAGCTAAGTTAATAATTAATTTTGGCTTTATCAATCGAATTTTTTATCACTTAACAATTATTGTTGACATTCTTAATGATCATACGATACAAAAGAAAATTGTTTTTTAAAAATCCTATGGGAGTAGATAAACGCTCTTATTAATCATTCTCCTTCGTGGTTGGTAATTCTCAATACCTGTAGTACGATTGCAGTAAACGCGATGGTAAGATAATAAGAAGAATGTCTACGAGGGATTGCTTTCTGAAAATACCTTTAAAAAATGTTTCTGATGAATATTAAAATCAAGAGGCACGGTAGTGCTTCGTGCCAAGTTCAAACGCAACGAAGTTGTATATTTATAACGTCCATCGCATACGATCATCTTGCTTTCAATGATATTTTGATGATACTCATCGTGTATCCTAATCACGACGATTACTGACCCTGCTCACTAAAAAGAATGGAACTCGTGTGTGCGCGATGTTTTATCTGAATTAAAATCGACTTCCCATATAGGTAAGAGCGCGGTTATTATTGGACTGTTCACGAATTCGCTCACGTATGCTGGCTCGCCGATGACTCTGCACCGTTGATTTAGTTACGACGTTCCGACAACACAATACATCCTCGGGCTTCGGTTATTCGCAAGTCGAAAAATGCATCTTCAATGTTTTCTAGCTTCTTTTCAAGTCCTGTCAGGACTTTCCCAAATGCTCGATTATCCCTAATCCTTAAAGGCTACCATGGGTGACACTTCACCCCATGCGAATTTTTGATCTTATTAAAAAACATAACCACACTGATAATACTAATTTTACAGGTATTTATTCAGTAGTGACAACATTATGGGAAAACAAATCAATTCTCGCATATACTTTACTATAAACATAACAAAAAAAGTTAGCTTAGGGTGGTATTTGATGGCAGCTTTTAAGGGTTAATGATTACAAGCGACTCGTGATAGCCGCCTCTAAGACGTTATTCTCGGTGAAAAAGACGCAAAACGTTTCGGACAACGAGTAATTTGAGACCTCAAATTGTGAATGATGACCCGTTTTTATCCCCGAATAATTGCGAAAGAGACAATGCGATAAAATCGTTCGGCTGCGAAATAGGTTTGTCCTTCACTCTAACGAGCCGATGATATCGCGCGTCCTCGGATGTCGTTTCGATCCCGCGTGCTGCTTTCGCCGAAGTTTACCGAATTTTAGATCATAGATCTTGAATTGCCCCGAAGTATTCTATATGCGAAATACCATCTCTCGCGAAGAGAATATCTCGCCGAATATCTTATCGAAGTTGCGCGCGCGCGCCATGTGGATAGTTTGCGCGGCCGCATCTGCATTTCTATTTATACGAAGCACTTTCGGCAAAATATAGAGTCACTAGAAAAATATCCTGAAATAAACACCCGATCGAATAAATCGCAGTTACCTCGCTCCTAACTCTGTGCCAACTGAGGACGCATTTTGCACAGAATGCGTCTTCGTTATGTACGATGCGCGATAAAAAAGAAGAAAAAGAAGCAACACTTAATTCGTCAATGTGGTCACATCTCTCCCATTTTTGGGGGACGAAATTTATCGTATCACGATAATGATTCTCCGTCGTGAACGCAAATAAGATTTTTTTTCAAAGAACAAAATTATCGTTCTTCGAGTATGTGAAAAGATGAAAGCATAATATGCAATGTTTCGGAAACACTTATGTTTATTTAACAATCATAATATTAGTCCACTAATTCTATTTTTCGTAGAAATTCTCGGAAAGCTACGAACGACGAGAAAGACTTCTACGAGGAATTAAGATTGGTTAATAATTGATCAAGGAACTTTCCTGTCCATTCGCACAGTCGACCGAAAATTTTTGTCGACCATGAAAATAATTATCGCCATATTATTAGCCGAAAATTACTATATAATTGTCGCCATCGTTTAGTCGATTATCCGCCACGTATGAGAATAGCTTCAATCGGAATTACCTACTACAGTCTCAGCAATCGGATATATCTTCGCCGGATGCTTGCTCTCGAAGGTGGACACACGCTTCCGGATCTTGTAGGCACGTCTCTCTTTTTCCCTCTCTCTCTCTCTCTTTCTCTCTCTCTCTCTCTCTCTCTCTTTTTCTCTCTCTTTCTTTCTTTCGCAAGAGCCGCAGCAGGATTTTCAAGGTTATACCGGCGGGTAGGACAGACTACAGATCACAGCTGAGTGCCGGCATATAGCACATTTCGCGAAACGCGGAATCATGTGTCCGGTGGCACAGAGTCGTGTACGGGATAATCGGAGGGATTCGATACGATCTCCCACCAGGCTTCCGCGAATTTTCAACCTCGTCTACCTCCCCACTTCCTCCTTCCTTCCTTACGGTCCCTCTTCCTTCGTTCCATCTCCTTCCCTCGGTCTATTTAGGCTACTCCAGGGGCGATCCCTCCTCGCCGAGTATGCACGTTTCCGTCGTTTCCGCCTCCTTTTACTCTTTCGTAATCTGTAATCAGAGTCGCATCTTCATTAAGCATCGAAATCTTGAAAACGCGAATCGCAGGAGGAAATTGGAAGGAAAGGGAGGTTGTCTGTCCAAATCAGGGCGATAAAAAGGAACGTTCTTGGTGTACAAGTTAAATAAAGATGTTAAAACTGAAAGCTCATGTATTACTCTTCAGAGTAAGATTCAACTTTGAAGACCTCTGTTCTTTTTTCTAATCAATTATTATGCCCTCTCATAATAATTTTCTACCAAAAAAAATGCTGGAGTAGAGCTAATTCTTAACAAAAAATCACTTCACAAACTGATCCAAGAGTTTACTATTTATAACTATTTATAACTAGCGTCGTGAAAATTAAATAAAACAAAAAAAGAAACCCATATTTTGGAGAATACCATTCGCAAAACATTGTTATATCATAAGATATCATATTAAGATTCGGCCCTGTTTGCGACAAACTTGGTTTTCTCGTGGCTGTTAGCTAATAAGATTCTGAAGTATCTGCTTCGTGCGGCTCCATAATGGAATACGCTTATAATTGTCCGTCCGGTTAGCAATTTCAGTTAATTAGGTTGAGTCGTGTCCAGACGTGACTACGGTTTGTACTACAGAGTCGCAAATTGGTATTGCAGTTTAATCGGCCAAGTACGATCGAGAGCTCGCTTCGCATTTACCGGTAAGCTGTTTGTATTCACGATTAAACGCGTATCATGAATCCCGTTAGATTTTTTGTATCGTGTACCGTGTACACATATATACATGTTATGAAAAATATACAGAGATAGAGATGTTTATATAGTCATCCTGCGATATAATCTTACTACGACGAAAAATGGCGTACGTGATGAAATTTATCATCAACAATTTAACGAAACTAATATTAACACAATAATAATAATAACAACATAATAAGTACGCATACATTCGTATATGAAATAAATATGAAAAAGTATATGCGCGTAAACGTATTCTTTTCTCCGATATCTGTGATTTATCAATCGTGCAATGAATTCATGAAATTATCAGATGATATATCCCTCCTCCCCCCTCTTTATTTCTCTCGTTTCACTAATATATTTATAATTAATATATTTATAAAAAAGACATCAGTGAATGGAATAATCGTTGATCCAGTGAGCTGTATGACGGCTGTACAACGACGAGTACCGTAATTAGCATACCGTAATAGTAGCCGGCGAGAAAGTGAGGGAGGAGTCTTGAGGGATGCAGCAGGTGTTATAACAGGTAAGTCGCGACTCACACAGAGAGCCGATACGCTTGCACTGACTCGACACGGGTGCACTGTGTGCGAGGAACACGAGCCAACGAGCGCGGGACGCACACTCGCGAGATCAATCTCCGAGCGAGAGAACACGTGCGGGAGTATCAATTGCGCGGATGCGCACGACTTTTCCCTCCCCACGGGCGGTCACCAGCCGAGCGGATCGAACGACGGGGGTGGCTTTAGCCGTGTACACGCGAAAGACAATTTCGTGAGGAAGCCAATAAGGAGTGTCGGGATATATACGGAAAGTTGCGTCCAGTTGTATGAGCGTCCCGCTGTGTATTTCGCGTCTCGCGATTCTGCGTCTTTCTATCTCACACAAATGGCACACACAGGCAAGCCCGCAAGGAACGAAATAATAATCCTTTCTGCGAAAAAAGAAAAGCTCACGTAAAGTATTAGCGAGAAAGTATTACTTCGAACAGCATATTTCCATTGTAAGAGTCCTGTATCGCATAATAGATAATGGTAACAGTGATAATAATAACAGTAACAATAACAATAATATAATAATGATAATGATAATAATGATAATGATAACATTATGTTTCATACTTTTAGCCAAAATGTATAAATTTCTTAAAGTGAGTTTAATAATATTTGAATGATAATGACAACAACAATGATAACAACAATAATAACAATATTGATAATAATAATATGATGATGGTGACGAAGAGGAGGAGGAGGATGGGAGGAGGATAAGGATGAGAATGAGGGGGAGGGAAGGGGGAGAGGGATGAGGAGGAGGAGGACGACGACGACGAGGACAGTGACGGCGACGACGACGACGACGATGACGATGACGACGATGATGATAATGATGATGATGATGATGGTAATGATGACAGGAGATTTGGCTGTATCTATTCGAAGAAACTTCTCTCTGTGAATTCACGTTTGTAACTCGAAAGGAATATAATCAATTTTCTAGAATGGATAATATCAAAACTATAAGCTTCCATTATAACGACTGCAGAAACAGCTGACAAAGCAACGATTTCGTAATTAGATAGCATAATGGAGAACCGTTTACCACTATTTTCTTTTCAAAGTAGCGACACGAATGTTAAAGGTTTTATTTTATTTATGCAATTTAGCCAATAAAAAGTAGAAGTATTTTTGACCTGAGCTATCCTTCTTTATACTTTAGAAATATTATGATATTATTGTGTTGGAAATATATTTTCAAATTTATTTTGTTTTTTTATTGTTTTATTGTTTTTTATTTTATTGTTTTTATTTTATTTATTTTATTGTTTTTCATTGTTAAATTTATTTTATTTGTGTATTTTTTAGGGAGTGTGCACATAATTGTGTCAATCATCATAGTTGTATTATAATACCAAATTTTTACTAGGACAGTTTTTTACAGAAATTTCTGTCCTTTCAAGAATACCTCAAGATTCTCAAGGTACCTTTGTTGTTTACTCTGTTTATTAATGATATTAACATATTTGAAAATAGTAACTCTTTGCTTATGCAGATGACCTGAAAATCTTTCGTCGTATTAATAATGCTAATGATGCTGATCTTTTGCAGCAGGACCTAGGGAGGCTTGGTGGATTGATGCAGAATTAACAATTTATATTTCGATATTTCCAAGTGTCATGTTATTCGTTTTAATCGTGGAACTAATAAAAATTCGTTCAATTATAATTTAGAAGGCAGATAATTTTCAAGTGTTGATCGTGTTCGTAACTTGGGCATTATTTTTACTTCTGGCTTATCATTTGAACAACACATGAAATCTATTGTTTGCAATGCTATAGAACACATGATTTTATTTATAAGACTTCTAAATATTAAAAAAACCGACAAATATAAGAATTCCTTATATCGCGTTAGTATATTCGTATCTTACATATGGATCGCTATTGTGGTTGCCTTATCAGAAGAATCATTGTCTTTTAATTGAAAGGATTCAGCACCGGTTAATCCGCCTTGCCAGGTCCTGTGTGAATGATCCCATGTCTATTACGGATCATAATTATTTATCTGAATTTCATAGCGTCATAATTTATTGTGATTGGAATCTAGATGTACAGTTCCGGATTTGACGTTTCTATTTAAAATTCTACACAATTATATTAATTACTCTGCCATTCTTAATGTTCGTAAACTTCATATGCCAGCTAAACCGATTTTGGGACATATTTCACATTGAGCACCATTGCACAAACTATGGTAAATTTAGTTGCATTAATAGAATGTTATTAATTGCTAACAGATATTCGGCAGTCATTGACTTCTTCAATAATACATTAAATAGTTTCAAGCGTAATCTGCGCACAATCCGCGTTTTATCATCTCAAGTACAATAATCACAATATTTATTATTAATATGCATATATTTTACTTTATTTTTATTATTATTATATACAATTTTATTATTTTCATGATATATTATTATCTATTGCTCTCTGATGTCTTGTGCTTTTAATTTTATACCAAAGAGTGCTCACCAGTACAACGATAAATAAATAAATAAATAAATAAATAAATTTTATTTACTTACTCAATGCGATGCTAAAGTCTCGATTTTGCACACGAAGAGTTGCAGTAAGTCGTTTCTCTTTCAATTCCATGTGAAAGTACGATTTCACAGAACTCAACGATCGTTTTTTTTTAATTTTCGCAGTAAGAATATTCCAAATTCACTATTTACATTACAAATTCACACCGTTTCACTATGATCAGTCTTTAATAATTATAAATACAATAATAGAATAAGCAAAATCCTACGTGTTATTATTTAATTTTTTAATATTCATTCAATTGTTAAAGATATGAATTTTGTTATTACACATTATGATCTTTCACGTTAAAATTCGAGTGAAATGTTGCAACGAATTTATCGAAATAAATTTATTTTTTAGAAATAAATTTTATGATAATGTCAAATGTAGTAATGAAAATGTAGTAATAAAAATCTAGCAAATGATAATGTAAAGTCGACGTCTTCGTTGAACGATTGGTACTGACTGAAATCTGCGACATTATCGAACACGAGGCCGGCATTTCCTGCTGGTCGACGTCAAACTTGACGTTACGCGCGTCAATGAAACAATAAGCTATTACAACTACTGATTACCAATGAGTTATACTAAGGCTATTGGATAAAGTGATGAGACGCATTGGTAGTGCACAGACACGTCCACAATTCTTGTAGATATAGCAAGAGGAAAGAAATAAGAAATCTGTTAAATTCCCTCCATTTTTTACATGCAGAAACTACTTTAAAATAATGATAAATAAAATTGTATTAAAATTATAAAATGTATTAAAATTAATTAACAATGTCATAAAAGTAACTCTAAGAAACTAAAACTAAATAAAATTGTAATAAATAAAATTATATTAAAATTATAAAATGTATTATTGTATGTATGTATTATATAAAATTAATTGACAATGTCATAAAAGTAACTCTAAGAAACTTAATTATAATTTGACTGAAAATATTGTGTGAAACATAATTTACTACTACTACTATTACTAAAAATTATTTTTTGTTATGCCCTTATCAATTCAATAATTAATTTGATTATAATTTTTTTGAAACACAATAGAGAACAATTTTTACGAAAGTGCAGAATGGAAGGACGAAATTTACTATAATTTATCGATAACCAAATTGCGCATCATATTCATATATCTTACTACAAAATGTATAAATGTTGTGAAAATTAAACAAATAATTCTTTATAACTATCTTTTATGATACATATGATTTTTATATAATGCACATACATATATGCGCACGTATATTCAGACATACATACGCCTATATAATAATATATACATTTTCTCTGCCCTCTCTCTCTTTTTACAGATATACTTCTATTGAGCAATCGATGCACAACGGCTCAATTGTTTTTATCTTCATGTCATTTTATTCTGAGCAATTTTCCTTTTGAGTGAAGTCACTGGTAGCATTTTTCTTAAGTTTAGAGACCTAATACAAATGCAAAGATAATTAATCTAACAAGACGGCGAATCTGTCATATATAATATATAAGCTCGTGAGATAATAATACACTCACCAACTTAAGTGGTTTTATTTTCTCAAGAAACTTATTGCTTTGCTTGAGAGGACTCTGCAGTATTTTTTCGATGCTATTAGAACGGATTGGGGAATATTGTTGATAGCTTGTGAAGCTTTTGTTTAAACGTTGCGGAGATTGCTGACGATAGCTGCTCATGTTGAGTAAGGAATTATATTTTCTCGTCGGCGTGCAGTACTTCGGAATACCAGACGAAACCGCTTCTTGATATTGAGATGTGTATATTTTTGCAGGCATTGGTTGGTTAATCTGAGATATAAATGATTCTTGTGCATCGTTACACGACTACGCGATTCGTCTTTTATTTCATTATTTCCAAATTAAATCTCAACAAATTAAATTTATATATTAGTCTCATTTTTGGTTCGCTTACTTCTTAGAATTGGTTCCCTTTGGCTTAATCACTGGTGAAATATCGCAAGGTATATTACGTTTCTTATTAGTGAACTTCGATTCTATTTTTGATGTCCTGTCTTCTTGATTATTTGATGTCGACAAGATCATCGAATTAGGAGTGCTGCTGATTACTTTATTGTCGAGAGAAACGATGCTATTGGACTTGGGCGGCAGGGTGACTTGAGAGAACGATGATGTTTGTCTTCCAAGAGATACTGCATTATTATTCGAAATAAAAAAATTATTTTATTAGTGAGATAAAATTTCTTATAAATTAGTAATATATTGACTAACTTATCAACAATACAAAATTGTCTTCATAATTTAGAATTATAATTGTACTGATTGTAGATTAATATACAGAAAACTCATCAACCGAATTACTAAGTGATTCTCTTAAACACTATTAGCAGATTAAACTTACCTTTATTTTTTATAATGCCCACAGAATGTACTTTTTTAGGCGCTTTTATAGGACCCTTCTTACTAATTGTAACTGATTCCTTCTTTAATTTATTTTTCATATCAATTACTGCTAATGAATTTTTGTTCTTGCTGTCGAGTTCTGCAGTCCCTGCATACTCTTAATTATTTCTATTTCAAAGAAACAATTATGTTTAAATAACAGCATATCTACTAAATCTACTAAACAATTATATACTTGTTTTCGTATCAAGAGTTCTTGAAAACGGAATTTTTTTATTCATCGCTATATTGATAAGCCTAGGATCACTTGTGAAACGTTTTTGATCTCTCAATCTGGATGTACTTCTACGTTTCGCACTTACTTGTGTGTTTGATATATTTGTCTCCGATGGATGAGTCGTGGATATGTTTCTCCGATTCGTTTTTTTGAGTAGCTATACGCTACGTAGAGAATACTTATAAGGAGCGAAATCGAAGCTATCGTGAAAAATAATAAAGATTTAATTATTTTAAATTTGGAGGTGATATTTTGTTTGTGCCTAGCTTCTGTTGCACTAAACAGATGCGCGTTAAGTTCAGAACTCGAAGTTTCCAAGGTTTCCGTAATTCGTTGAATATCACATGACTTATCATCCGTCTGCGATCCATCTTCAATTTTATAATGCTTCTATGCGACGCTCAAGGTCTTCTTTATTCCTCTAAGTAATTGTAAAGTCGTAGCATCTTCAGCCTGATCATTTAACACTTTTTTTAGATTAACTAACAATTTTACCGCTGTTCGTCCGAGTGACTGTCCTTATCATTGGTACACTTGATATTTAACGCTATTTCAGATGACGCCGTAATATCAAGACGTTCATTATTATTATTACAAGATGAAGTTCTAGCTAATGAGTTTTCACTGCTGACAGTTGTAGTTTGTAACGTATCTTTTGGTACCACACATAAGTCATAATGACTTATGTGTGGTACTATACTTTCATTATCACAGATTTTTTCTTTACGGGATACTTCTATATTTTCTTCCTGGCTTTTAGTGATACATACATTTGTTTTATCCGATTGCTGAGTATTATACAATTTATCATCAGATATCTCAAAAGTTTGTAATTTGTTTGATATATGTAGACTTGCTAACAGTTCTGTATTGGTTTTATATTTTGTATCCAAAATAGTCTCCAAATTATCAATTAATTTACTTGCTTTTGGATTATTTTCGGCTTTCACTAATTTCTTGAGATCTAATAATAAAGCGGTTACCATTGTCTGCTTACAGTAGAAATTGTTTACAGTAGAAACGCAACCAGTAAATTGCAATTCGATCTCTTTTAAAAAATCTTCCCCTATATTACCAATATTTGCAGCGGATTGCTCCGATTCGCAGCTTTTGTCATCTTTTATTTTTTTCTTTGGCGAAGTAGATAATTCAATTAAATTACCTATAGTCTCATCCTCAAATACTGGTAGTAAATCCGACATCCATAAAGTATTATTTGAAATTAAGTTATCCGTATCAGCTGATAAAGAAAAAGAAAAATAATAATAGAATTCTAATTTTTTGAACACTTCCTGTGTTTTTAGTCTTGGTCACGACAAATTAATAATTATTATACTAAGATAATTAGAAGTCAAATAATGGAAAACAACTCTAAAGAAAAAAAAAGAAAAAAAAAAATGTTTTAGTAAAGCAAAGAAGAAATATATAATATAAGAAATAAGAAATATATTTAGATTATTTTTATAATAAAATCCGAGAAACTATTTATGTTAATCTTCTACCAGGAAAAATATAATGCAATAAATACGCGAAGCGTCAAATAATTTCAACGAACGAATTACAAAGAGTGCTTAATGATTTTCAACAAAGATTGTAGGTTTGCACAGGATGTAAAGGAACAAGATTTTGAATATTTAAATTATTAGAATTCTCCATTTCAAAGAGAGACATGCTTCTTTTTTCTAAGATTTTTATTCTTATTGGAGATATATTAATAAAATTTATTTTTTTCTTTGTTTTATTAAAGCATTACACGTACACGCGCGCGTGTGTACACATATATGCATATGTACAAGTTATATTATTATTCTACTATCTATATGTAATAAATATAAAATACTTACATATAGAATCTGTTTTTACACTTGGTTCTTCAAAAATTCTTGAGAGTGCTTTAGCTTGAGCTAGTATTAATTTATTAACTTTGCTAATGTCCTGCATTTAATTTTAAATGTTTGTTTTATTACATAAAATAGTTTAAAAAATAATTGTATGGAATCATCCATATTAATTAGTAATCAATTGATGATTATACAGAACAAGAGACATTTCTATACATGTAAAAACCACAATTAATCTTTAATTTGATATTATAAAGATAAAGAAAAATAAATTAAGAAATAAACAAAATCACATAGTTAAAAATATCGATGAGTACAAATAAATTCTGCATATATTATAAAGGACAAAATCTTAAATTACTTGCATCATTATTAATTATATGAAAGTTACATTTAAAACTTATAACTTTTACCTCTCTAAGCTTAATCAGAAATGATAGATATTAAAAACAGAAATTTATGAAAAGATTAACAAACTTCTATCTAAGGCTTGAATATAAATGATGCATGTTACTTAAATGTTTCTTTATAAATTTTTTCGCATATTTTTTTGCCAATTCTGATAAGTTTTTCATAGAAGTCTTTGGTAATCTTTCAAAAATTCTTTCTTATATCATGGAGAAATGTTCTTTATTTTGTACAATTACCAATTAATTTTTATGATATTAAATGTAATAAGTCACAAATTAGTAAGCTACAAAATATTCTTTAAATATTTCATAGTAATGCAATATATAACAATGATAAAAAGACAATCTTACAATAAATACAGAATTTGAAGAGCTAGTAAAATTTGTGCTTTTATCATATTTTTTATTAAAACTTGATTCCGGTATAAATACATTAACATCTATTAATTTATTATTTGCATCTTTACTGTTCTCTCCTTTTATAGAATTAGATTGATCAGTTTTCTCCTTCAAAGGAACTGTTTCTATTAATATGATAATTTAATATTAATCTTTCTGTTATATTAAACAAGTTATATTGGATTGATTTAATCTCTATAGAATGTTCAGCTATATATCAGGTGTAGTAAAAAGAAATCCATTATTTTTGCATGAAATTGAAGGCTTTTTTAATTACCATAGTTAGAATGATCCGATTTAGGTCAAATATGCGCCGTTTTGTTCGATAACTTGTTGTCATTTTGAAGGTAATTTCATTATGCCTCTCTCATAGAAGCCCTCGTCCCTATTGGCAAAAAATTGAGACAGTCGATTTTCACAAGCCTCTCTTGAAGCGAATTTTTCACCAGCAAAATTGTTCGCCATGGACAGGAACAGATGGTAATCACTTGGCGCCAGGTCCGGACTATAAGGTGGATGCATAAGAACCTCCCAACCAAGCTCCCGGAGCTTCTGGCGAGTCACTATCGATGTGTGTAGTCTGGCGTTGTCCTGACGGAACACAATTCCTCTCCTATTGACCAAAGCTGGCCGCTTCTGGGCGATTGCTTCCTTCAGACGGTCCAATTGTTGACAGTACAGTCCGAGTTAAGAGTTTTGCCGTAGGGGAGCAGCTCATAGTAGATAATTCCCTGCCAATCCCACCAAACACACAGCAAAACGGCTTCCTGGCCGTCAATCCTGGCTTGGCCACCGTTTCCGCCGGCTCACCGCGATTCAACCACGACCGTTTTCGCTTGACGTTGTCGTAAGTGATCCACTTTTCATCACCAGTGACCAACCGCTTCATGGTCGACCCAAATGGGTCGATTTTGTTGCGATTCAGCAGCGATTCGCAGATGAAAATTCGGTTTTGCTGTGTGTTTGGTGGGATTGGCAGGGAATTATCTACTATGAGCTGCTCCCCTACGGCAAAACTCTTAACTCGGACTGTACTGTCAACAATTGGACCGTCTGAAGGAAGCAATCGCCCAGAAGCGGCCAGCTTTGGCCAATAGGAGAGGAATTGTGTTCCGTCAGGACAACGCCAGGCTACACACATCGATAGTGACTCGCCAGAAGCTCCGGGAGCTTGGTTGGGAGGTTCTTATGCATCCACCTTATAGTCCGGACCTGGCGCCAAGTGATTACCATCTGTTCCTGTCCATGGCGAACAATTTTGCTGGTGAAAAATTCGCTTCAAGAGAGGCTTGTGAAAATCGACTGTCTCAATTTTTTGCCAATAGGGACGAGGGCTTCTATGAGAGAGGCATAATGAAATTACCTTCAAAATGACAACAAGTTATCGAACAAAACGGCGCATATTTGACCTAAATCGGATCATTCTAACTATGGTAATTAAAGCCTTCAATTTCATGCAAAAATAATGGATTTCTTTTTACTACACCTGATATATCACTATCCAAAAAATATATATATATATCTATATATATCACTATCCAAAAAAGCATATTTATATCATTTGCTGATATTAATGATTTGATACTAACAAGACAGAATTCAATCTTTCCATAGAAGAAACATGTGATAGGTCAGAGAATATAGACTGTTGATTCTGCTTAATCTCCAAAAAATCTTTGTTTAAAAGAGACAACATAATATTATCAGTTTATGAAGTTACTTTTGAGATATTATTTACAGATTGTGATCTTCTATTTAGGTACTGTAATTTTGTCAGTGATATTTTATCCTTTCGTGATAATGAATGATGAAGATTAAACTATGGCTTAAAAGTTGAGTTTATAGGAACAAACTTTTCTCTGAAAACATCCATATTTTATTATCTTTTTATGTTTAAAATCTTTTAAATCTTATACTTAAAACTTCTTTAACATATGATTCGTTACAGATATTAAATTGATCTAAAATTAATAATTTGAGCATGTCTACATCCATAATGATTATTTTGTCATTTTGCTTAAGTATTAATTTTTTACCTTTTGCTGTATTACTATCATAAATATTTGCATTATTTGCAACAAAACTGACATTTTCTTCCTTCTTTTTTATATCATTTGAACCTGCTTTATCTTTGATCAAAGATTCATCCAGTGTCTTGTTCACCATTTCCAAATACTTCTTTGTGTATTTTGGAGTAGCATTATCTTTGAATACCACTGATTGCTCTTTTTCTGCGCTCTTACCATTCTTATTCTTTAATGTTTGCTGCAACATCACCTCGAAAGAATCATCTTTTTTTTTTGTTGTACACTGAGTTGCAATGAATCGTTCCATGAGAGGGGAAATGGAATACCCACACTCTGGTATATGGTTTGTTCTATTTAGCTGCACTAGTAAGAAAAATATATTTGTCTCATTCTAACTTATTACACTAGTTTAGCAGTGCAGCTAAAAAGAACAGACCATATATCAGAGTGGGAGAACTCCATTTCCTCTCTCGCGGAACGGTTCGTTGCAACTCAGGATATTCAGCGCTTTCATACAACACATTGAATGAATTACTGTCCAAGTCTCTGAATTTTTTTCGTTGCCAACGAGCTTGCCTGCTCGTTGCACTCGATATTTTTGGATACAGGAATCAGTGGCGATGATAACGTTAAATTTTCTAAATCCTTCACTTTGGGGCTATTTAAATTTATCAAATCATTCATCCTGCCAAGAAAAATACGTCTCTTTGATAGTTCGTTAAAAGACATAGGGGAAGAGCATAGACTTTTGCATAACGCATAATACACAACGCATAAGAGAATCAACAAATCAGAGTTCTTCATTTCTGTCCTAAGGAGGGAAATGAAGAAAACTAATTGGTTTATTCTGTTATGCGTTATGTATTATGTGTTATGCAAAAGCCTGTGATCTTGCCCAAAGTCTTTTGTTCGTCTCCGTGGCGGTTGGATGTGGTTCCTATAACTACACATATTTTTGATCTTGGGGATTGCGTACGCGTTGTCCCTATTTCTCTTTTATTTCCAAAATCGTTGTAATTGGCGTAGGAGAATGAGTGTAATAACTCTGCTCAAAGCTCATATTGAATGAATGAATGAAGAGAGGAACCTTCCGTGGCGGTTGGATGTGGTTCCTGTAACTACGCATATTTTTTGATCGTAGGGACTGCGTACACATTGTCCCTGTTTTTCTCTTACTTCCATACTACTGGAAAATAGCCTTACAGAATTTCATCTACCAGGTCTGTAAATATGAAACCGGAATTTTGATATACAGAGTGTTTCATTTTAATCGCCCTCATGCAAATATCTCGAAAAATATAGAAAATATGAAAAATGTTTTGAAGAAAAGTTGTATGGTTCAAGGGGAACATAAGATGGCGCCAATAAATATCAAGTCTGTAAATATGAAACCGGAATTTGCCCATAGATGACCCTAGCTGTCAATGTAGTTACCGTCAAACCGCGTAATTGGCGCCATTTCCATTTGTTGACATCTGATAAAGATTTTCAACTCACAACAATACAAGTTTCATACAACAGCATAGTTTGTAACAGCGTTGAACATGTCGAATTTTGTGCTTCGAAGCTACGATTTGCGGACAGCATTGATTTTCTGTTACCATTTGAAGAAAACTGCTGCAGAATCGCATCGAATGCTTATCGAAGCTTACGGTGAGCATGCTCTTGGTAAATCACAGTGCTTTGAGTGGTTTAAAAAATTCAAACGTAGCGATTTTGACGTGAAAAACGAAGAATGTAGAACCGAAAAAGTTTGAAGACAGCGAATTGCAAGCATTGTTGGATGAGGATGACGCTCAAACACAACAACTCGCGGATCAATTAAATGTGACACGAGAAGTCGTCTCCATACGTTTGAAAGCCATGGGAAAGATCCAGAAGATGGGAAAATGGGTTCCACATGAACTGAATGGAAGACAGCAGGAAAACCGAAAAACTACTTGCGAAATGCTGCTTGCCAGGTACAAAAGAAAGTCATTTCTCCATCGAATTGTGACTGGCGATGAAAAGTGGATATATTTTGAGAATTCTAAGCGTAAAAGATCATGGGTAACTCCAGGCGAACCATCGACATCGACTGCAAGGCCAAATCGCTATGGACGGAAGACAATGCTTTGTGTTTGGTGGGATCAGAAAGGTGTGATTTATTATGAGCTGCTAAAACCTGGCGAAACCGTTCATACTGAATGCTACCGACAACAAATGATCGATTTGAATCAAGCTTCGCATGAAAAACGACCAGAATATCAAAAAAGGCAATACAAAGTGATTTTGCTTCATGATAATGCACCATCACACACAGCAAAACTGTTCAAGGAAACGATTGAGGCATTTAGTTGGGAAATACTTTCGCATGCGGCTTACTCATCAGACTTGGCTCCGTCCGATTACTACTTATTTGTATCGATGGGACACGCACTTGCTGAGCAGCGCTTCACTTCTTACGAAAATGTACGAAAATGGCTCGATGACTGGTTTGCTTCAAAAGAGTAACAGTTTTTTTGGCGTGGCATCCACAAATTGTCAGACAGGTGGGAAAAATGTATAGCTAGCGATGGGCAATACTTCGAATAAAATATTTTTTATCATTTTCATACAATAAACGTGTATTTTCTATACAAAAACTCCGGTTTCATACTTATATACCTGGTATCTACACCGTGAGAGTGACGTTGGTGCAATACCCTATTTTGCCCAGAGCCATTTATCAGGGGGTACGATCGCGGATACAGGGTGCATTCCGATATTCACTGCTAGTACTGCGATAGTGCTGTGAGTACGTTCCAAAATGCATTGCAGTAAACTTTCGATGAGCCCGTGAAAACGTGTGACATCCTACATTTTGTCGTCACTTCCTATTTTCGTTACTGCTGGCGAGGTAAGGCATTCGCAGTAGAAAGATGGCTGCGCTCGAAAATATGGAGGAAACTTGTTTGTTAGATGCTGTTACCAACCAAAATTTTACATTAATTGTAAACAGGAAGGATGCAACCAGAGCACGAAACGATAAGAAGAAAATATATATATAACTTGTATATATACAGGGTGTGTACGGTATTTGAGGACACTCATGTATGTGAATATAATTTCTGGAGAACAATTTTGTTTGTTTTTTTCTTGTTAGATCATCAATGGAGGACTATAAAATAACGCAAGAAATGAAGAGACATACAGTTATCGTCGCTATATGCGCGAAACACACCGATTTAGAAATCTCCAATTTTCTCAATTGCGCCCCATCATTCGTACATAAGGTTCGTCGTGAATTGGAAGCATCAGCTGGCGATGTAGAAACTGTTGCAAAACGCAAAAAACATGAGGAACGTTCGGACACTACTAGAAATACACAATTTGTCCAACAAGTACAAAAGATCGTTGACGAAAGCCCTTCAAAGTCCATAAGGGCCATTGCGAGGGACCTGAATGTCTCTGAGAGCCTAATCCGTCGAGTTGTCCACGAAGACCTCCGCTATACAGGATGCGTACGGTATTTGAGGACAAATTGACATTAAAACTAATTTGTTCATATCTTTTGCAAAATTTATTATAATTCCATGAAATTTTTACACGACGTTAATTGACTCCTAGACTATACAATTACTCAATAAAATCCCCATTAGCGGCAATAATGGACTCAATCCGGGGTCGGAAACGATTGCATGCCCGAATCAAATGCTCTTTGTTCATTTTGATCATTGTTGTTGTTATAGCATCCTTCAGTGATAAAATATTATTATGAGGATGTTTATTGGTCTCTCGCTCAACTACGCCCCATACGTAATAATCCAGAGGATTAAGGTCTGGGGAGCTAGGTGACCATAATTTTGGGATAATGTGGTCATAGAAATTTTCGGTCATCCAATCTTGTGTCGTCATGGCTTTGTGTGAAGGAGCAGAGTCTTGCTGGAATATGTATGGTCTGTCCTCACGTACACTATCAATCCAGGATTTCCCAACTGTTTCTAAAACCTCGATGTAGACGGCAGCATTCACCCGAAGCCCCTGACGAAAGAAGTGGGGTGGCATAACATGTCCTTCGTTGCTCACAACTCCTAAAACCATGACAGTTGCTGGAAACTTCGTGTGCATAACACAGGGAACCTCTGTAGGATGTGAGCATAACTACCTGTCATTTCTCCGATTGATTTTTTGGTCTTGGTCGAAATTTTTTCGTCAGAAAAAAACCACAACATGTTAGGAACTTCAGGGTGCTTAAGCTTGTTCAAAAGACGTTTTCCTCGTATAAGTCTCTGTTCCCGAGTTTGTGACGACATAAACTGTCCTCTGCGCATAACGTAGGACGTATAGCGGAGGTCTTATTACAACTTTTATTTTGTATTTTTTTATTGCCATGTTTACAAATATTATTTTAAACGGTTACAATATTTTTTATAATAAAAGTAAAATTAATTACAAGAAAGTTTAATGCATCATATTTTTCCCGCCCCACTTGCAGACTGCGGACTGCGGACTGTGAAATACATTTTTGCTATGTATCTGGTGTGGTTAAAAAAATTTGATGCATAAAACTACCATGCATCATACACACACAGCTTATAATACATGCACAGACACAATGACACACATAAATATATACATACACACATATATACACAGCACAGCAGATCCACTCGCTTGCACGCACACACAGATATAGTCAAAGATCCACTTGTACGCACGTACACACTCACAGACACGGATTCACTTCACGCACGCACGCACGCATTCACAGACACAGATTAACTCGCTTGCATGCACACACAAACACAGATACGGATTCACTCCACGCACGCATTAATAGATACAGATTCACTCGCATGCACGCACACACAGATATAGTGAAAAATCCACTTGTACGCACGTACACACTCACAGACACAGATTCACTCCACGCACGCATGCACTCACAGACAGATTCACTCGCATGCACGCACACACAGCACAGGCACAGATTCACTCCACGCACGCACGCATTCACAGACACAGATCACTCGCACGCATGCACATATAGACACATATCCACTTGTACACACACACATACATGCAATTTCACATGTTACAAATGAAAAATGTTTTTCCCAATATTTCGAAGAACAGGACGTAAATATATCTTCAACATGTTTCATAAAAAATGTATCTTAGTTTTTAATGCGTTTTCGTACGGGATGTTTGTATGATTCTAATAATAATTTACGTTTACATTTATTCAATTCATGCAACGCGTGCGTATGCTTTATTGATAATAAAATTTCTTTCTCACTGCGTTTCACTATATCTATATCTACATTCTTCAACATGATTTTGAAAATTGCACCATAACACTATAGTATGTACTGCTATAACACGGACTATTATTTTAAACAAATTATGTTCTCTACATTTTTGCCAAGACATATTTACGCTGTACTCTTCGAAATACTGTAAAATTACATGTAAAATATCTCACCTATGACACCTTGTTTTTAATAACTTATTAATTCTACCTACTATTAGTCTAGCACAAACTGGAAATTCACTATTTTTTGAAGAAACATCATATTCCGAACAATAATTTACTTCTTTCAAAATTGGATTACTTATTTCGTTAAAGTGCTCTAAAAATGACGCGATAATTGATTTATGACTATCTACATTTTCTGAAAATAAATCATGCGGTTCATCATACAAATTGTGCTTGCGAGCGACATCATGCACCTCAACATTTGAAATATCTTTCAAACATTCTTCCAAACAGCATGGAGTAATCATCCGTGGCCTCGCAATTACCGCCAACGATAGACAATCTTCATGTTGCTCACCAGTAAAGTAATATACGACTCTTCAATTTGCCGAGGAGTAGGATTTGTACGACGAACTGCATGGCTTCTTATTTGACCAAAGAAATTTTCTAAAGGATCTTGATTGCAAAAGCGAGTGTTTAATTTTGTAAAACCGTATTTTAAATTTAATGTTTTCCATAATTTTTGAAACCCGTCAATAGTGAACGACCAGTTTATGAGACTAGGAACTTTCTTAATAATGTCACGCGTCACTTTATTAATGTAACACATATTTCGTAACATATTTTTTGCACTCACCCAAAACACACGATGATCACTGTCTTCAGTCACTGGACGTCGAAGTTCATTATCTTCTGTACACTCTTTGTCACTACCATTAACACTGTCGAACAAATCGTTGAAAAAGTTCACTGCTTCGGTCGTTGCAAGTTCGTCTTTAATATTTATTTTCAATTTATTGTCATCGGTGCCCACTACACCTGTAACGTAAAATGTTAACATTTATTATTATATCTTTCTGTTATGTACAACAATGACTATTATAATAATAGCCAAATTAATGTTTTATATTACTACTTATTTTACTTATTATTGAGTTAAGCAAAATAATGTAACAGGTGTCAAATATTAACGTATATATATTTCATGCAAATACTACAAAAAAGGAGAAGCAAAATATGAATGATATGACTGTATGTTTTATATATTTCATCTTATCTCATAAGAATACTTACACTTTGATCTTGCCAATGTTTCGATGTAGCTGGCAACCGTCCCACTCAACACTTGTGTTGCGTACTTAACACGCATCTTCTTTATTTTGTCCTCACAAATATGTTCTGCTGTTATTTTCTTCAATTGTGGTCGGATTTGATTCAATTCTTGGTCCAATCCACGCCGTTTTAATAGTATTCCACGACACTATTTCACTTGGAACACTACTTCACAAACTTCACTGCCAAATCCTTCGATAATAAATTGTTCCTGATACCCTTGATGAGATGTGGAAGATCAAATAGTGATATCACTTCCTTATTCCCAACTTCAAACGTTTGACTTACGAGTAAAAGAAATAAATTTATATGCACTGTTAATAATTCCATACTTGTAGTGAATGTTGTTATTTACTTTGGGTTTTCTTTTGAAAATTCCGTTGCATATCGGTGCGCAATAATAATTCCTTTATTGCGGCGACGTTTGATGTGCCCTGGTGACAAACTGTATAAACGATGTCGAAGCCTATGTTACTAATTATATGAATATGTTCTTTAATGGTACGAATTAATTGCGCGGTACTCGTTTGTTTATAGCAAAAATTAAACGAAAGTGGCATCTTCCATCCCGAGTTTAATCCGCGAAGCACAAAAACTAAAACGTGATCCGCCATCTTTGTGGTATGATTGTTGCCCCAATCCTCCAAGCTACATTAGCTATCCAAGCTATTATATCTTTTCGAGTATCATACATGACTTGTGGTTGTATGGATACCTCATCCCACATAAGAATGCACACTTTCTCCTTCATTGACAACTTTCGAGCTATATTCTCCAAGTGTCTCAGGATAAAAGGGTTCAAACCAGCGGTGATGGGTATCTTATGAAGCGCCAATTGTAACGTTTGGATGGCTAGAATATGTGTAAGTAATGTACGTAAACATGTATATGCGCGCTTCCTCATCGTTTTGTACAACGTCAAAGTCAGGACTTTCTGCTTTTCTTCATATCGGTGATCCTATACAAGATTAAATATTGTTAATGACATGCAAAACACATTTCAAAGATATGAACATATAATGCAGTAAAGTATGCACTACTTCGTAAACAATCAGCATGCATTACTTATTCAAGCTTTTCTTAATACATACGTTTATTTTCGCAAAAATGCTTAATGATGAAAATTCTATCATCAAAAAATAATAAAAAACAATATAATCAGTATGGTATATATAACGCAGCTTACAATATAATTGCAACATGCAATTACAACACCTATCAGTGTGCAATGAAAAAGCAGTCCACAAAAAATATTTTCATATGGTATAAAATGACGATTCAAATTTTTTAACGTATTTTGTATTTTATCCATAATTTGCTCCGATACACATTTCTCTTTTGTGTTAAATATGAGGTTTTACTTTTCCGGTCCTATATATGTTTATTATTTCATTGCTTTATATGCAATGTTTTAATATTGCAATAATCATGTTTCTTGTTATGTGCAATAACATCATTTTTTTCACAATAACGATTAAAAAAGTAGTTACTACTAATTATTATGTAGAATGTCAACACATGTAAATGTATTTTTCAATGTTCCTCTGTCTCCCAATATATAGTGAAAAAATGAATCTTTTCACAACACATAGTTTCAGTATTTGCACAGAGTGAGATATAGCGAGAAAAAATGTTATTGAGGATATGAAGAAAGAAAGATCAGAATTGCATAAATTAGATATATTTATTAGAATATTTATAAGAATATTATTAAAGAAATTGCATACATTTTTATATATAGTAGTAATGTACATATACAACAATATAAATCACACACTTTTTTCATGCCAAATCAGACTTACATTTTACATCATTTCATCGTCGTCACTGTTATGTTTCATCGTGATTGTTTGTTCCTCTCTTTGTATGACATTGGTGGATCTTTCATTGTATGTTCCTAAAAGCTGCACAAATTGTGTGACAAAATATAAGATACACGAAACCGTTCTCCCCATATAATTAATCACTATTATCAGCATATTTATATACATTATTTATACTGTACCTCATACCTCCTACTTTGAGTATTATTCAATACTTTAAATCAGTGCTGGGAATTAAGTGAGCAGCACAAGCCAATTTCAGAGGCAACGCCCGCGCTTCCCCCATTACCTCCCGAAGCGCGACGTACTTATTCTTCCTCTTTCGTTTTTATATTTTTCACCATGTAGCATTTCGCTTTCCTGCTGAGACATATTTAATCTTCATTAATTTTTAGTGGAGTAGGCCTACTGGGGAAACCACTTAAAAAAAGCGCATCAACAATAGTACCTCATGGGTGATGTGGAAATCTGTTAACACTTTAATAATTATATTCTTAATTATTGTCATCACTATATTATTATTAAAGAGAATTTATTATATTAGAAATAAAAGCGTAATATTTCATCATCAATGAAATAATTATTTTTTAAACATAAATAAATATTTTAATTTTAGTTTGACGGAGGGTGCGATCCCATCATATATCGTATATGAGACCGTTCCTGAGGCAGAGCGTCTCACGCGCAATCGGTGGCTCGGCTACCATGTTTCGGCAGGTAGTGAGGGAAGCGCGCGGGCATTGCCTTTGAAATCGGCTCGCGCTGCTCACTTAATTCCCAGCTTTAAATATATAACACTGCTGTGTTGTGATAAGAACATCAGTAATGCGTAATTATACGTAACAAAACATTAATGAAGTAATTCATTTATATGTTTTTAATGTTTCTGCGTTTGAATGTTTATCTTTCATCGCGCTAAATAATGATAAATAGCCACAAAATACTGAACTTACAGGCATTTTTCTGAATATTGTATGAATGTGCTATTTAAAGCAATAAATATTTCTTTTGTCAACATCACAAAGATCTTCTCAACATTTTCTCATCTTTCGCAGTGTATGTCTTCTTATTTTCTTATCACCAACCCTCCCCCCCTCTTTCTGTTTCTCACAAATACATCACGAACATGAACACATACTCATTAACATTATCTCATTTTTAAACTTTGCAAGAATTATAATTTCATTAAAAAATTTTTCACATATTATATTATATATTAATGATATATATTAAAATATTGCAAAAAAAGCAAACGTTAGCAACAAATTACTGACCAAAACAGATAGAAGCAATAAAAAAACATACATACGTATACACGCGCGCGCGCGAATGTATATGTTGCATACATGTGTGCTCACCAGGGTTGGAAAAGTTACTTTTTAAGAGTAACTCGTTACCGTTACCGTTACTTTCGGTAAAAAGTAACTCGTTACCGTTACTCATTACTGATCTTAAAAAATAACGCGTTACCGTTATTTGAAAGTAACGATATTTTATTTCGTTACTTTCCGTTACTTTTTTTTGTTGTAAATCCAGGATTATTAAAAGGTGCTAAGATAAGATATAAATCGGACATAAGACGATTAGAAATAAATATATATATATATATACATATTTAAATATTTTTATTATTTTATGTTATTAAGTGTTGTACTTAATGAAAAGTTTCTTAATTAGTGGATATGAATTTAATATTTGGACATTAGTGCCTGTTGACTTTAAAAATCTTTGCCATTCATCATAGGCAGATTTCTTATTTGATGCTTGCTATTTGAAATTAAAAAAGTCATCGTTATTATTGTGCTTATCAGACATAAAAAAATGTTCAACTGAAGGAATTCCTAATAAATCTTCTAAATATGTTTGCGCAAATTTTCGCTTATCTCCGGCTAACCAACTCAATTTGAATTTGGGGTGCAAACAGCTGGCAATTATCAATTCTTCTTTTTCGAATGTAGTACAAAACCTAAAGTTAAATCAATAAAATTAAATATGAACATATTGATTTTCCTTTTTGATCAGATGAATGTTGTTTGATGAACATATGTATTAATCAAATTACACCAACTTACCTTTCTGTATAACTACGGCCAATGGATGACAATATGTGAGTCCATCTTTATTGGTTCTCACTGAATCCAGCATAAAACAAAAAATGCATAGAAATTAAATACAATTAAGTTTAATTTTATAAAAATTAAGAAGTAACGATTAAAGTAACGGATGTTTTGTTACTCGTTACAAAAAAAATGTATCGCCGTTATTTTTTCGTTATTGACAACAAAAAAGTAACGACGTTACCTAATCGTTACTCAAAAAAGTAACGATACCAGTAACGGCGTTACAAGTAACGCGTTACTTCCCAACCCTTTAAATTATTTTCCATAAAATATGAAATATGTTATATACTGTCTCATGTGTCAATGACATTACTTTTGTATACTTTGATGTACATAACAATAAAGATAACATTAAACATTATGACAATTGTACAATACACTGAAAAGAAGAACAAAATATAAATGATTTGCAGTTGATGCGTAGGGAAATGAGGCAAAAATATTATTTTATCGAATGTGTAATTTTAAAAAATGCAACACTTCGTTTATTAAAATATTTCTTATATGCAATGAAAAGTGAACGGAAAAGTAAGCATGGTAAAATGCAAAGTTTAATTTTTATGTATATTTTAGTTATAATATGCATATATACGCAACATGTATAAAGTTTAAATTTCTGAAAATCAAGACATTAAAAAAAAGTATCAAAGAACAATGTAAAGGTTTAGAGAGCGAGAAGAAATAATGCACTGCATATACACATATATACACAGAGTGTGTGTGTGTGTGTGTGTGTGCGCAAGCGTGCATGTGTATAATATAAATTGAATCTAAAACATTATACACTATGAAATGATGTAATAAATATTATCTATTCTTATTTCAGAAACATTATAAATGTTACAGAGAGTTTGCAAAAAAGCGATCTATTAAAAATGTCATCTTTTTTCGTGTCTTTGAACCCATAAACTTTTGTTTGACTCAAGCACCCAAGTATAGTTATGTTAATTAACGTCTTCATTTTCAGATTTTTCAAGCATATTTTGATATGTGAAATTTCACCTTTTTGTTCTTAAGGAAGAGTGGAAAAGTGAGATTTTGCGAGAAAAATATTAATGGAAAATCTTAAAATAACGGTGCCTGTATAATTAAGAATGAATACATTTTTTATGCAATAAAAGAAAAACAATCTGCATAATATATATTATGCATAAAAATATTTCCCACGTGACATTTTTACGTTTTTAATACTAATATTTTCTATAATATTTCAAGGAAGGAAATATTTGTTTCTATTTATCGCATTTTCTACATTATTAAGTAATATATTAAATTTGAAATATATTGATATATACTAGGTGCGCAACAAAGTTTCCGGGTTTTACACATGGATGGCGCTAACGACACGTGTAGTCGACATACATGTCTGAAGTTGTTTTTTTTATAGCTTGGACATCTGTTAACAATAACCAGTTGTAATACCAACACATATCGCAACGCAAAAATATTTTTTCTAACAACAAAGATGTCGAGTTTTGTGCCAAATAAACAGCATTTGCGGGAAGCTTTGCTTTTCTGTTTTAACTTGAAAAAAGTGCAGCTAAAGCACGTTTGCTTGAGGAGGCCTACGACGAACATGCACCATCGAAAACTGCGAAGATTAGTTTAAACGCTTCAGAAGTGGCGATTTCGACACTGAGGACGAGGAGCGCTCCGGAAGATCAAAAACAATTGAGGACGTCGATCTGCAAGCGTTATTGGATAAAGATGATACGCAAACACAAGATCAACTTGCGGAGGCATTAAACATGACTCGCCGAGGTATTTCCAAACGTTTACATGCCATGGGAAAAATGCAAAAAGAAGGAAAATCGGTGCCGCATAAGTTGACTGAGAGACAGATGGAAAATCGAAGAGCCACTTCCGAAATTTTGCTTTTGCGGCATAAAAGAAAGAGTTTCCTGCATCGAATTGTTACTGGCGATGAGAAGCGGATATATTTCGAGAATCCCAAACGCAAAAAATCATGGCTTTCACCTGGCGAAGCATCAACATCGACGGCACGGCCAAATCGCTTCGGAAAGAAGACAATGCTCTGCGTTTAGTGGGATCAGAAAGGAATCGTGTACTATGAGCTGCTGAAAAGAAGCCGGGCGAAACTGCCAATGGGCATCGCTACCGACAACAACTGATCAATTTGAAACATGCATTGCTCGAAAAACGGCCAGAATGGAACGAGTGATATTACAGCACGACAACGCTCCGTGCCATCGCACTTCCATCGTCCAGGACACCATCAAAACGCTGAAATGGGATCTGCTACCGCACCCGCCGTATTCGCCAGACCTGGCCCCTTCCGATTATCACTTGTTCCGGTCGATGGCGCATGGCTTGGCTAGGCAACACTTGGCCAATTTCGAAAAAATGCAAAATTGGTTGTATGAATGGTTTCGATCCAAAGACGCGTCGTTTTATCGTCGTGGTATTTATATATTGCGAGGGAGATGGCAAAAATGTGTAGCTAGCGAGGGACGATACTTCGAATAAACCATTTTTTGTATTTCTCTTGAAATTTTCCATTTTTCATTGATCAAAAAAACCCGGAAACTTAGTTGCGCACCTAGTATAATGGGATGTCACACACAGTAAAATAAGATTCATTTATATATAAAACATTGTACAGATATTTTCATTAGTGAATAGCTATGAGAAAAAATGATTTTCTTATATAGAAATAATGTTAACATAATAATAAAATGAAACATACCTATGGAGAACATTTTAAATTTATCGTCAACATTTGGAAGAAAGTCTTCTGTATGTTTGACATGTCCTTCGTGATGTCATCCCATGTATTCCCACGTTGCAGTCTGTTGATTCTCTGATGCTGATGATAAATAATCCTCTTCTTATTGTGTAACATCTTCCATTGTGTCCTCAAGTTTCTTCTTAAAACATAGATTTCTTCTTCCTCTTCATTTTTTCTTGCTCTTCACCCATTTTCTGTCTCTTCACCCATGTTTATGGGCAGTGGCACAAAAGCAGAATTGTTCGGAACATGTTCTACACTAACATGCTCACAAATATTATTGTTAACGTTAATATCAACATGCTGTTAAAAATTTAAAGGCAAATGTAATATTGGTACAGCATTATTGGTTAGATGTCGCCTAGACCCATAAGGCTGTACCATATTTTCTGGAAAATGTTCCATATAGATTCTCAATTTGGCCAATATTTCTTTAGGCGCACCTATAATATCACAAATTATGTGAAATATAAGAAATTACATGATATGAAACAATTATGAAATATTAAAAATTACATTAGAAAAATGAGAGCATTGCAATGTTAAAAATAAACATGGATATATATATATAATATAAAGAAAATATATTTAAATTAATTAAAATATATTTAATAAATTTTAAATAAAAATATTTACTATTAAAAAATTGTCATTGCATCTGTTTAATACTTACCGATCAAATCAGTTTTGCCTATAGTTGTTAGCCAATGTTTCCTTTTCGATGCATCCTTTGAGAAGCGATGTACTGATATTTGAGATGTGGACTTATATTGTGGAACACAACACTTCCACACCATCTTGAAGAAATGTACCTAGAAAATTAACATTGTTATTTATATATAAAGTAAGATATTAATACAAAATAAAATATTAATTAATGAAAAGACAAAATAAATCATAAGGTAAGAAGCATATTCTCTTTTCTTTATTTTCTCTAAGAAATATTAATTGTTATATAGGTTGCGTGAAAAGTTCGTGGAGCGAAACTGAAATAAAGAATACCTAATTCTAAAAATGATTTTATTCTTCAATATAGTCTCCATTAACTTCAATATACTTGGCCCAATAGCTTTCCAATAATTTTATTCCATCGCGGAAGTGTGTTTCTGGAAGGTCTGCGAAATATGCCTGTACGGCTGCTATAGCTTCTTCATTCCACAAAAAATGCTTTCCACGGAGGAATTGTTTCAAGTTTCGGAACAGATAGAAGTTGCTGGGTGCCAAATCTGGCAAATACGGTGGATGATCAAGTAATTTGTATTTTAATTCATTGAATTTAAACATTGACAAAACACTTTTGTGAGCAGGTGCGCTGTTTTGGTGAAAAATGATATGTTTGTGCTGCAAACCAGGTCTTTTCTCACGAATTTTTGCGTCCAATTGATCCAAAAGGTTACAATAATATTCAGAGTTAATTGTTTTACCTTTTCCCAGATAGTCAATTAACAAAATCCCTTTAGCATCCCAAAAAACTGATGCCAAAACCTTTTTTGCCAATCTTTCATGCTTTGTTTGCTTTGGAGCTGAACATTCAGCTTCAGTCCACTGTAAACGTTCCAGTTTCAATTTAGGATCATGGTGATAGATCCACATCTCATCCATAGTTATAAAACGACACACAAAATCGGTTTTATTCTTCTTAAAATGATCCAAATAACACTGAGAAATTTGCTTTCGAGCGAGTTTTTATTGAATTGTTAACGTATGCGGCACCACTTTTCCAAATACCTTTTTCATTTGTAATTCTTTATGCAAAATATACTGTACCTGTTCGTATGAAACGCCTATGATATGAGCAATTTTACACGTAGTCACACTTGGATCTTCAGAAACAATAACATGTGTTTGCTCAATAATTTCTGGTGTTGATGCGCTTTTTGGACGTCCACTGCGTGGATTATCTTCAATGTTTGTACGACCATGTTGAAACTCAAGTGCCTATTTACAAACCATTGTTTTTGAAGGAGCAGATTCCCCTAACACATTCCCTAACACCCTAACCATCTCGGAATGAATTTCCATTGCCTTTAAACCTTTTTTAACAAAGAACTCAATCACTGCACGCTGTTTCAAATTTTCCATTGCAAACAAATATACTGACACGTCAACTTCAATTGGCTTGTAAACATAGAAAGAATTGACAGATAGAAATGAAACCTAACCTAGGTTCATGTGAAGAGTGATTCTATATAACCGACTACAATTTATAATTCTACCGTTTACTTATAGATGCCGCTCCGCGAACTTTTCACGCAACCTGTATTAACATGTAATATTAAGAGAGATAGAAAACTGACTAACTCAGTAAATAATTTGTTAACAATGTGACCAACGATTGGCAATAAATTTGAGCAGAATATGTTAACAAACTGATAGATTTACAACATCTATAATTTGCTATTATTCTTTTTACCGAACCTGTTGAGAGACTGACAATACAACAACAGATAGACAATAGGAAGCAAGCAGGATTTGCAATATGTTCCATTTAAATATATTGAAGTGACAGATCTTGCTCGATTTCTGACATCAATTTGTCATATTCCGTCATCAGATCCTATGATATTTCTGGCATTAAACTGCTGATAGAATTTGTAGTTTACTAGCAAAAATATAATTTGATAGCAAAATTTGATAGAGTGACGGCATAGAAATCAAGTCTGTCGTTCTAATATACTTAAATACTACATAACATATAGCAGATTTTGCTCGTTTTTCATCTGCTGTTACAATGTGTGAGCAAGCTCAAAAATAATAACAGCAGATTAGGGCCGTAGATAATTTTATATCTGTCGACACGTCACATTTGAATCTGTCGCCAATTTATAATAAGATTAATTTTAGCTACACATATGTATACATAAATACTTACGTGAATGTTAATGTTATGATGCCACACGCTCTTTGTTCTTCGTTGGTCCTTCTTCTTTCTTCCTATAACACCGAAATGCTCTTTTTTGGGCACTTAAGTATACAAAACATCTTCTCAAGTCACTGATAAACAGAACTGTTCAATATGGCGACTTAAGCCAGCGGCACACGGTGCTTGTTTTCGTGCTGGATTGCTTGCTGGATGAAAATATTGCGTTGTGATTGGTACATTTCCGAAGATGGATGAAAATGCACCAATCAGAACGCAGTATTTTCATCCAGCAAGCAATCCAGCACGAAAACAAGCACCGTGTGCCGCTGGCTTAACAGGTGATGGTGCCGGGTCGACTGCGCTGCCTCCTGCCTTTGTACCCAATCCGAGACGAACTAAAGTCACTTCCGTCAGTAGTAAAATCAGAGAGAAACCTAAGAGCGGCCATCAGAGAAGGTTCAGAAATTTTTATGAATTCGATGCGTCTCCTGAGGAAATAGACGTCAACTACGTCGATGTTGCTCGGTAACGAGGTGTGCCTGTAATAGTTTGGTTCATATCTGAGCTACTACACAGAATATAGTAAAAATTATATACAGAGTGGGGGGTTATAAGTTTACAACCCGAAATGTGAAGATAGATTGGGTTAAGATAAACATAATAGTACCATACCGTTTTGCGAGATTCGCAATAATTATCGAGTTATTAATGACAGAAATCTGAGGAATGGGAGCGCGCCGACATAGATGATTAGAGAAGCGTTGCAGCTACTCAGGCCACAGCGCGACCCACTCGACCTAGTAACTGTTGACGGCGTGCGGCGAGACGTAGGTCCGGCGAGATAAAACAACGAATAGCAGCGCATTGTCTTTCCCCTCGCCGCGCACCGGCAACAGTTGCTGGATCAACTGAGCCGCGCTGCGGCCTAAGGCCCAGTTCCACAACTTGCTTTAAACGGAGTTATATGCGCATATACTATTGCTTTTAACCATCGGTTTAGCTTTAAACTCCGTTTAAAGCAAGTTGTAGAACTGGGCCTTATTAGTCGAACGTATACTATACTATACTATATAATACATGTTCGACCAATAAGCTGGGTTTATTTAACGCAGCATGAGTGAACCCAAGTCTAGTCGAATATGCTAATAGAAAAATGTAGCTAATTTCTTTCCAATAAATACCGAATATCACTATACTAAACACTTTTTGTTGAAATTTCAAATGACATTATTGAAAAATTATATTACATTACATTACATTTATGTTATAATTTCTCACTTAACAATGTAAATGTAATAAAATACATTTACTTTGCATTTACTTTGCTGCAGTATTTACTGAGCTACTATAAATAAATACATAATGTGAAAGATGTTAACCAAAATGCGACTTAAATTCTTAATCTTTCCACCTAGGTATCACCTCTTCCACATAATTTTGTAGTCTTGGCAGTTTCTTCCGACGTCCTACTTTTAAATTAATGAGTACATCCAACTCTTCTTCGTCATCAGATGATGAAGACTATTAATTCACTCAGAGCAAAGAGTAAAAGACTTATAATAATTTTTTTCTTTTTTGGTTATCCATATTTGCACCAACATCAGCCATATTGTAACGATAAATTCACTCAAGTAACGTTCGAGCAGCTCGAAAGCGTAAACTGCGTTAGTCTCTCCGAACGTATCTATCAGCATTAGCGTTTGTTGCGTGATAGCGTGCTCTCCGAACGCACCCAAACAAGAAAGAAAGTTGATACAAACATAGGTCCAAAAATGTGTTGTTTTCGAGTTATCGCCATTTTTATGTTAAAATTTGAAATTGCTTTGCTTTCGAATTTTTTTGGTTTTGGAATTTCGATGGTTTTTATGAGTTTCAAAACACAACTAAAGTCAAATAAAAGTTACGGGCTGCTTTAGCACTACCCAGGATGCACCGCGTGGAGGTACAGCCCGCTTAACATCCCTTGGCAGAGATCAGGACCCCACAGTTCGTTACTCTTGTGGTATTTAGTGACTCCAAACCCTCTCTGTCGTGTGTATGTGTGTGTGTGTGTGTGTTTTATTTGACTTTAGTTGTGTTTTGAAACTCATAAAAACCATCGGAATTCCAAAACCAAAAAAATTCGAAAGCAAAGCAATTTCAAATTTTAACATAAAAATGGCGATAACTCGAAAACAACGCATTTTTGGACCTATGTTTGTATCAACTTTCTTTCTTGTTTGTGGTTCCCCATTCATCTCTCGAGCGATTGACTTCGACTTACGGAACACCCTGTATAATATCATTAGGAGGAATCATCCCAGCAAATACAATAGGCTTGTTCGTTTTGTTTGTACTGCTGAACTAGTGCAACAAATTGAAGTGAGAAAACCTATGTTTGTCTCACTTTAACTTAATGCACCAGTTCAGCAATGCAGACAAAACGAACAGGCCTAATATTACATGTTATGTGCATGTTAGTTGTAATTTCCTACTTAACAATATAACTGTTATATAACACATGTGTTATAATTTATGTGTGTTATGAACTAAGATCTTTATCAGTTTTCTTTCAGTATGTATAACAGTCAAGATATGATAAGCAAAATAATTATTCGATAGAATTATAAATAAGATTATCGAATTTGAAATTCTCGGGCGGAGCCCCTCTCCCGCTTATATGTACTGTTTCTTATATTTAAAGTAAATGAAAACTGCTTGTCTACTTCAAATATACTTTAAGAGTCTGCAGTATTCCGTACTCGCGTACTGATATTTGTCGGTGTCGTTAGCAGTATTGCGTAGCTTTTTTGTTATATGAAAAACCTGCGCAATGCCGCTAACGGCACCGACAACTATCGATATGCAGGTACGGAATATAGCCCCAGGTTCCTCTCTGTTGATATAATTCGCTCCAGGTTCTATCAGGGTGCGCTGGAAGCGGTCGTCATAATGCTTTCGCCTCTATAAAGTAGAAGACTATTCTCCATGAGTTACATTAACCTTCCTGTAAAAATACGCCTGATGTGTGAGTGGGTTATGTATTTTTAAAAATGTGAAAAGAATGTGTAGGCTATTGTAGAATAGTAGTGACCGGTGGTAATGACAAAGGGCCGAATTGTGTACGATAGTGTTACACAAAAAATCTGTGAACGATTTGAGAAAACGCAATATAATCAGTGAGAGATATAAAAATAGTGATGATGGTGAACGTGTTGTGCTTGTGGGTAGTTCTGAGTGTGTGCGCCACGTACGCTTTTAATCTGGAACCACGAATACCTGTCATTAAAAGGGGATCGAGGGGTTCCTATTTCGGTTACTCGGTGGCCGAACATCAGGAAATTGTACCCTCACTACCAAAATCTACGAGTTGGTAGGTATCAGTAGACGCTAGAATAAAAAAAGATTAACACGAAATTTTGTAGTACTTGTTGAGTGATAATATTTAATTTGTGTTATGTTGAAATAAATTATGCTTTCTTAGTTATTTCAATCTTTATGCAAAGTTATCACTTGGAGAAATTAATTCTACTTTTCTTAATATTTTAAGCCTATTTTACTGATCTTTTGCAGGATGCTGGTAGGCGCACCTCTAGATCAGAATTTACAACCAGGAACGAATAAGTCAGGAGCTTTATGGCAATGTCCACTGACAACTTATACAAGAGATTGTACACAAGTCATTACTGATGGACAACTTAGTATGTTCTTTTTATATATTATTCATCATTGCCTCTATAATTGTATTAATGTGATAACTTGAAATATATTTATAGTAGCATTGTTGGAACATAATTTAATTTATGTATCATTATATTTTCATAAGATTTTGCTGGATATGTTAATCAGCTACAAAGTTGTTGTATTCTTTTATGTTTTATATAACATGCAATTAAAAAAATTCTATTTTTATATCAATATAGTATATACGATATAAATAGGATATATTGCACACTATATATAACTTAAAAACTCTTAAATGTTTCTAAAATAGTGCTACATAAAAATTCATCTAAAAGAAGTTGTATGGTATAAAAGAATATATTATAAAAAGTTGTTACTATATAACATATTTATACCATATAATTTTCATAGAATTAATTATGAATTATTTTAGAAATATTTAAAGTGTCTAAATTTATATATGATGACTGGTTTTATATAATTATTTAATTATGTAATGATTTTGTACTATATATAATAAGATATTTTTTTGTTGAATCATGTTACGGTAAACCAGAGGACAATATTCTAGTATACAGACCAAACGAATACGAATCATATGATTCAAGTAAGTGTGCAAACTTTTCGGCAAAGTCCTTGCAGAATGAATTGAATGAAGAGTTTCACAGTTTTGACGCAGTTTGCCATTTATATTGCATATATTTCTCTTTGAATTAGAATATGTTCAGGAGCAAATAAACAAAAGCATGCGATATAAAAATTTTATCATTGAAGATTTATTGCACAATAATCCTTTTGTATGGAAGCTTGTACAAAATAACATAAAATAAGATAAAATAGTTATCGTATAATAATTTTACAAACAAGAGTATCATATAATTGTTCATAGCAATTCTATGCAACAAATATTGGCTGATATTCTTTATTAACATTATTGCTCTCACTATCTGTTTCTTTTCATATAGGACAATTTTTTATTTGCATTTATATTGCATGGTCATTGCATAAAGTAATTAACACAATAACGTCTTATTTTCATGTGACCAGAAATTTTAACCAATTATTTAATTAATCAGAGAAATTAGAATTGTTTGTCTTTCGTGAAACTATACTAATGCAATGTACTAATTTCTCACAGCAAGAAAATATGTTTCCTCTGATTTATTTATCTTATTACTTATCTTATTCCAATATCACGTGTGTTTGCATAGGATATTTTATATATATTTATTATTATATTTTTAGATCATGTTACTCATGTAATTTTTATTTCATTACTTTTATTTTCAGTATTTTTATTCTTTTTGTCGTCTTTAATTTTAAATATTTATAATTAAAATGTAAATAAAATCTAAAATTTACAGAAATATTTAGTTTTGGGTACTTAAAACAATAGACTATACAGGAATTTTTTTTTGGAAAAATTATGCAATGTATTGATTTGTATAACTTGGCATATTTATTATATATGTATAAAGGAATATATTAAAAAATAATGGTGTTTATGATTAACTTCAAACTTTCCATATACAGTGTCCACCAAACGTTCCAGGCCACCTAAATAATTTTTGAATGGTTTGAAATGTAGGATTGAAATTTATAGGGATATTTATAGGGAAATTTATAGGGATAATGGGATCACAAAGTCTATTATACAGGGTGTGCCAAAAGAAGCGGGACGGTCGAATATTTCGCGAAATTTACATCGGATCGAAAAATTGAAAAACACGTGTTCAATATTTTTCAAAAATCTATCGAATGACACCAAATACGACCCCCTACCCCCACCCCCTGGGGGTGGGGCGGGGGGCAACTTTGAAATCTTAAATGGGAACCCCCATTTTTTATTGCAGATTTGGATTCCTCATGAAAAAATAAGTTACTTTTATTCGGGACATTTTTTTCGAATTGTTGATAGATGGCGCTGTAATCGCAGAAAAACAAATACAGATCAGAAGTCTGCAAACGGTCAAATTTGTCGGGACATACGCTTCGGAACACAAAATTAGTATTTTTGAAAAGGCTATCTAATGATGCTACAGTAGACCGATAGATGGCGCTCTAATTGCAAAAACAATTCTTTCTCGCAAGTGAAAGTATTTCTACAGCTAATATGAGGTTAACGTCTTTCGTTGATTTTGTATCTGACTTTATTAAAAAACTACGTTTAGCATAACCCAGGAACAACGACGTGGACGTAGTAGTTTTTTGTTCCCTTCGGGGTGCTTGTTTTTAGTGAGTCCCCTTGCCTCTCACTTATCGGGGTGCTTGTTTTTAGTGAGTCCCCTTGCCTCTCGCTTATCGGGGTGCTTGTTTTTAGTGAGTCCCCTTGCCTCTCACTTATCGGGGTGCTTGTTTTTAGTGAGTCCCCTTGCCTCTCACTTATCGGGGTGCTTGTTTTTAGTGAGTCCCCTTGCCTCTCATGATTGCCGCCAATAACTTTACTGTAGTAAATGCTCAAATTGTGCACCGTTTACTTCCTGGCAGTAAGCTAATCGATGGTAAACAGATTCGATGGAATTTTTTAAGTATTCTGCAGGTATTTGGGCAGCTACATCAATTATTCTTTGACGCAGTTCATCTAAATTTTGAGGTTTCGTTTCGTAAACCCGATTTTTTAAATAACCCCACAAGAAAAAATCAAGTGGAGTTAAATCTGGTGACCTGGCAGGCCATTCGATCGGACCTCTTCGTCCAATCCAACGATCAGGAAAATGTTCATCTAAATAATTACGAACGTTCCGTCCGTAATGAGGTGCAGCACCATCTTGCTGAAACCAAACCTGCTCCAAGTTATCGCCAGCAATCTCCCTTATTGTTGGAATTATTTCATTTCGAAGCATGTTTTCATACCTTTGAGCAGTAAGATTACGTCGTCTTACCATCGATAAAGAATGGCCCAATCAAATGATGATGTATTATTCCAGCCCAAACGTTTAATTTCTGTGGGTATTGGGTTTTGCTCTCTCGCATCCAATGTGGATTCTCGTCTGCCCAATACCTGCAATTATGCCGATTACAAGTACCATTCAATTGAAATGTTGCTTCATCTGAGAATACAATGTTGTAAAGAAAGTCTGGATCTTGATCTATTCTAAGTATCATGTCCTCACAAAATTCTAAACGTCGGTCGGGATCATCTTCATTTATCTCATGAACAAGTGTCATTTTGTAAGGATGCAATTTATTACTTTTCAAAATCCTGCGGACTGAAGATGTACCAATTTCTTGAGCTTGGGCAGTTCTACGAAGACTACTGTGAGGATTTTCCGTAAATGATAATAAAACATTCAACGCTTTTTCTTCGTTTGTTGCTGACTTTGGTCTTCCTAATTTAGCTCGATCTTTCATAGAGCCTGTAGCTTCAAATCTTCTAACCGTTCTCTCCACAGTCGATTTGGAGATAGGATCCATTCCAATTCGAAAAGTATCATTGAAAATATCTCTTGCTTCCGAGTATGACCTTTTCCTATCACTCCAGCCTACCATCGTTAGTAATGACATTCTTTCTTGTTCATTAAGATGAGCCATTTTGAAAGAAAAAACACATTTTCAAGTAAAATTTTTCTTTATATTGGGTGAGTGCAAAAGTTCGTGCGGAGTTTCAATAGATGGAGTTATAAGCGTCGTAAAGTGTTGTCATTAATACTTCCATCTACATATTATATAACGTTGGAAAGGTGACGTCTTCAGCTGTTATTAAAAAAAAATCATTTGTTTTCATACAAACTGCTTCGAGAAATATCACTTTAAAAATGAGTATCGATAAGGTGCATTTACGGCATGTTATGCTTTACGAGTTTCGGAAGGGAATAAACGTTGCCGCAGCCGTAAAAAACATTCAGGATGTTTATCAGGATGAAGCACCAGCTAAACGAACTGTGGAAAAATGGTTTGCTAAATTTCGGCGCGGAGAATTTAACCTTGAAGACGAGCCACGCTCTGGTCGACCTTCTGACATTGATGACGATGTTTTGCGTACTTTAGTGCTCAATAATCCGCGAATTTCAACAGAAGAAGTTGCTACAGCACTAAACGTTGACCGATCAACCGCTTTTCGGCGTTTAAAAAAGATGGGATTCGATTTGAAGCTCGATATATGGGTCCCATTTGCTGACCGAGAAGAACAAAATCAAGCGAATTTCTGCAGCCGTTTCTTTACTCGGGCGGCTCAATAACGAGTCGTTTTTGGATCAACTAGTGACGGGCGATGAGAAATGGGTCCTCTACAACAATGTTCAGCGCAAACGGACATGGAAACAATCAGGTGAGCATGGTGACGCAATGCCAAAGGCCAGTTTGCACCCGATGAAGGTGATGCTCTCTGTTTGGTGGGATTGCAAGGGCATAATCTATTTCGAGCTTCTCCCCGCTGGCGAAACGATTGATTCGGACAAGTACTGTCGCCAATTAACCAATCTGAATCGAGAAATAAAAGAGAAACGTCCGATTTTGTCAAATCGCAAGGGAGTCGTCTTTCATCACGACAACGCCAGACCACACGTTTCGAAAAAGCCGCTGCGCAAACTGAAGAGCCTGAAATGGGATGTCTTAACGCATCCACCGTATTCTCCTGATATCGCACCATCTGACTATCACTTGTTCCGGTCATTGCAAAATTATTTAAATGGAAAAAACTTTGACTCTTTGGAGGCCTTAAAAAACGGCGTCTCTTCATTCTTCGAATCTAAACCGCGCAGTTTTTATGATCGAGGCATCCGTATGCTGCCAGAACATTGGGAAAATATTATAGAAAACGATGGAGAATATATCATTGATTGAATAAAGATTTTTGTTTGCCTAATCACTGTGTGACTTTTACTCTCAAACTCCGCACGAACTTTTGCACTCACCCAATAGATGAAGGTTCATCTGCTTGAATCAACTTAAACAGTTGAACTAATGTGTCATTTAAAAAGTACCTACCAAATGGATGAAGCAAAAAAAATCACAACAAAAATAGTCCACTTTTTGTTTACGTATTTATTAATAAAGAAAAGAACTCTTACCTTGCTGAATATTGTTTACACGAGTATGGAATCACAAACATTTTCATTTCTACTTCAATAGATTAGTTTTCGACAGGTTTATTTTTAATTTGCTTATTGAATAATGGCTGGTAGAGAAGCCGAAAGCTACTACAAGAATACAGTTTATCGTTAATAAAGTGAGGTTCGTCAATTTATAATTCTTCGAATGTTTTATTACCTAGTCTATTTTATAGGGGACTCACTAAAAACAAGCACCCCGATAAGCGAGAGGCAAGGGGACTCACTAAAAACAAGCACCCCGATAAGTGAGAGGCAAGGGGACTCACTAAAAACAAGCACCCCGAAGGGAACAAAAAACTACTACGTCCACGTCGTTGTTCCTGGGTTATGCTAAACGTAGTTTTTTAATAAAGTCAGATACAAAATCAACGAAAGACGTTAACCTCATATTAGCTGTAGAAATACTTTCACTTGCGAGAAAGAATTGTTTTTGCAATTAGAGCGCCATCTATCGGTCTACTGTAGCATCATTAGATAGCCTTTTCAAAAATACTAATTTTGTGTTCCGAAGCGTATGTCCCGACAAATTTGACCGTTTGCAGACTTCTGATCTGTA